TGTGTCTTTTTTCTTGCGGGTAGACAGACTTATATCTCCTTTTTTGTTGTGTAGATTACCGTGGAGATAATATCATGTACGTAGGTCTAAATACACGCTTCAGTGAGAAACAAATGAATCTGGCCGCCCCATGCCCGTCCTCCCACCAGGCATCAACATCATCCTGCAGAAGCTAGCGATCCAACCATACTGTTTTTCAAGGGAAGGCGAGTTTGGTGGGCCAGGCTTCGAGCAGCCAAGGCTTTCTATGATCACGACAGGATTAGGCACAGACAAATGGATGTACCTAGGTGTTTTTAATGGCTTTAAGTGCTGCAGGGTTCAATGTACAGAATGTATCTGTTCATGGGCTCGTCCCTGCAGGCACCTTTGTTTTTGCACTTGAATATGGAGATGTTGTTCCAATAAAACCTCTGGATGGTGACAATCCAATAAAGACTACTTCAATGCATCAGAAGAAATTTTCAATGTTTTCTTTCAGGGTAGCATGGCTAGGTACAGACACATGTTTGTGCCTAGGTAGGTCCAGTACGGCCTACATGTAGAAATGGCAGGTAGCCATGTTTATTTATAAGGATAAACTGGTGCATGCACAAACATACAGCATAGAATCCTTTGTCTCATGGGCCTTGAGTTCAATGACTTGGGGGAGGACCACAGGTCAATGAAAAAGAAATCAATCCTGCCGCCCCAGTCCTCCGACCAGGTTGCCTTGGCATCCCAGACGAAGGCACCTTTGGTGGGCCAGATGTTTTGGTAGATTGGGGGCTTGCATTGGCCAAGACTTTCTATGCTCACAACACGGTAACGGTTAGGTACAGAAAAATGTTTGTACCTAGGTCTTTTCAATAGTCCTTATATTGCCACGAGGTTCGGTGTACCTGACTGATGTAGTTTTGGGCACCATAGACATTGGTTTTGTTTGTATCTTGACCCGTTAACCTCGTCAAACGATACAGGTCGACTGGTGAAGGAATTAGTCAAAATCTATTTGGATAGTTTTACTTGGACTTGTTTAAAAGAGCATGCCTTAGGCACAGACAAATGACCGTGCCTAAGTCGGTGTGAAAATTCCTGTATGTGGAAATATGTTTGAAGCATCGCTTATTCGTGCTTATTCGTGAGATGCATACGTGTACCTACATACACGCGAAATTGGCAAGAGTGCATTTCTTGGTGCTTCGCAAAGACATGTGTGTTTTTGCACAACAGGGTTAGGCACAGACAAATGGATGTACCTAGGTGTTTTTAATGACTTTAAGTGCTGCAGGGTTCAATGTACCGAATGTATCTATTCATGGGTTTGTCCCTACGCAACCTTCTTTTTGCACTTGAATATGGAGATGCTGTTCCAATAAAACATTTGGATGGTGACATTCAATAAAGACTATGTCAATGTATCAGAATCAATTTTCATTGGCTTCTGTCCGGGCAGCATGGCTAGGTGCAGGCACATGTTTGTGCCTAGGTAGGTCCAGTACGGCCTATATGTAGAAATGACATGTAGTCATTCTAATTAATAAGGATGAATTGGTCCATGCACATATACAGCATACAATCCTTTGTTTCATTTGCCTTCCATTGAAGGAGTTGGGGGGGATCGCATGTTGATCGAAAACAGTCCTGCCGCCTCAGTCAGCCTGGACAAAGAGCAGTCCCTACCCGTCCTCTTGCCAGGTGTCCTTGGCATCAACACGATGCCGCAGAAGCGACCGACCCAACCATGGTCTTCTCCAGATGGTGGGCCAGGTGTTTTTTTAAGATTGGAGGCTTCGATTGGCCAAGGTTTTCTATGATCACAACGCGTTTAGGTTTAGGTACAGACGCATGTTTGTACCTAGGCGTTCTCAGTGATTTGTATATTACCACGAAGGCCATGGTCTTTTGTCTATCTATGCTTTCATCTTTCATCTACCTCCTGATTGGTCTGTCAGTCTGTTCTCTGATTCATCTATCTGTGTGGCTTACTCTTTCTTTTATCCGATGCGTAGGGCTGTGTGTCAATATAGTTTCAAAGGCAGGTTGTGGGCATGTGATAAGATCAGGCTAGGCACAGATATGGAGTTGTGCCTGGTTTTTCTTTCGTTCCCTGCGCTTCCTTACCCACTCCTGCACCTCAGTATCGCTCCCCATGTGGGGAAAGAAAAGAAAACGAAAACTCAAGCATCTCAAGGAGATGCTTTTGGGAAAAACCTGCAGTTGAACACATGGATTGATTTGAATTACATGGGCCGCTTTTATGATTCCCATTGTTTCGTTCTTCATGCTGTTGGGGATATTCTTTGGGCTTATTTTTTTTGGCCCGAACACAGATAGCTGAAGAATTTCAGTGAAATGATGTGCTTGAGTTTTCAAGTCATGGACGGTGTGAGGTTTAATTTTGTTAACCGCTGACCAGCATTCTATCACAGCGGCCCTTTGGAGGTCGTGCTTGTTGAAGCTGGGTGGTTTGCGCAGGCAGGCCACGGCCCCAACATGGTGCAGTCAATAGGTCCTGTAACGGCGAGGCAGAGTAGGTTCCTTTTTGCTGCAAATCAGACAAGCTAGTGAGTAGGTTCCTTTTTGCTGCAAATCAGACAAGCTAGTTTGTTCAGCTAGCCGTTTATCCTTTGATCTCCGTTTTTTGGCTGGGAGAGGCAGCTTCGAGGGGAAGCATTTTGACAGAAGTAGCTCGGGCGTGGCGTGTAAAGCCGATGGCACCATCGCTGATGGAAGATTGGGCGAAGGAGTGCTGGGAAAATCACGAACCCAAAATGGTTTAGTGCTGGGTACTTGTGTTTTTTACCGAACCATGTGGGTAGCGTTGCTTTGTCAGGGCCTTGTATGTTTGGTTTTTCGGGCCAAAGCAACATTGGGATTTTTTCGCCCTTGAGGAGGTGTGGCAACACGCGGAAAAGGAATACGAGTCAATGAAGGGTATGTCGCCGCCATCCCAGTCAGATGGTGCCATTGGCCAAGCATTTTCCAAGGACAAAGTGTTGTCGGCCCTCAAAGTCAGTCCTTTCCAAATCCGCAATGTGGCATGCAATTTGTGTTGGACCCTTCCTCTCCACGAAACTCTCTCTGGGGACCACTTGAGCATGGAGCTTGTTCGCAAATATGCTGAGAACAAGTTCTATGAACATGGCAAGCCGCGTGCGCCAGCATTGTGGCCAGCCATGCCTATCCCCATCTCTTGTATGCAACGAGATGAACTGCCTCCAAAGGGATCCTGGAAGCGGTATGGCGGAGACATTGCTGTGGCTGCATTTTGGTTCGCTTTTGCTGCTGCAATCAAAGCTGGCGCCGATGGCCCGGAGTTGGACCGCTTCCGTCTTGTTGCAAGGACAGCTGGCAGAAACTAAGAGTCCTTTTTTGGAAGAAATAGGTTAACAGATTCCCGTGGTTACTTCCACTACCAACAATAGAACTGCCAGTACAAAATGGTTTTCCTGATTCTATCTCAGCACAGCCAGGCTCTTTTCGCACAGAGGCCTACTGATAATCCAGTTCAAGCATCAGCGCTGGCGTTGTTTGTAAAGAGTTAGATTGCCCCATGGATGTTTGTGGTGCTCTTTCCATAGAGGCTGAAGAACAAAAGCTTTTCACAGAGATGTTGCAGAACATTTGTTTATCGCCAGTTGGTTCCCAGAGATTAACTAGAGTTGGATGGTTTGTGGTTGTTAGGGCACCAAGGTCTAGCTTCAAATTATTTCAAATTGCAACCTTGATTGTGGGAATACCGCCCGGCAACTCCAAAGAGTATGATTGCCATAGGTGTGTATAGTCACCTACAAGAGCCCCCCAAAGAAGTACCAATACAGATTGAGTGGCCATCACCATCTAGTGTGATCCATTCCTTATCATCTTTGTACACATGTACTCATGCTAATCCCAATGAAGGTAGAATCAGAAAGCCGAGGGCCACGCAATTGTAGTCCCCATGGAAACCAGGTAGAAACCTGCATGTTGTGCTCGCTTGGGTTGCATGGGGCCCGCCATCCTCCAAGCACAGGAACACTCCTTTTCACTTCCGGTATTTCCAGACCGATGCAGAATGATTTGCCGCAGCAACAGAGATGCTGGATGATGTTGAAGACCAGAGGGAGTACTTTGGATTGGATCTGGGCAGGCTGATGTGCGTGGTCAAGGAGGCCAAGAAGTATGTTACTTTAGAGCGCCAGGGACAAAATTTGACCGAGAAGGTGCAGAACACTCATGTCTCAGAGTGGCTGGCTGCGAAAGTGAAGTGGTCGGATCCAAAGAGGTGCCCCTCTGCTGCCACATTAGGGCAGCTGCTGCAAATCAGCAATGGGCTTGCCCAGGCACCCAGGAGGTGGCAAATCACGATGCCAACCGGAAAGACGCATCCACACTATACGCACTGGCTGGCTGAAGCTCAAAAGATGAGACGATCCGAAAAAAAACGACAAACTGAATTTCAACAAGATCTAAGCATCATGTATATTCAATAAACCAAAATCATTCAAAATCCATCAAAATCTATCATGACTTAAGCGGCCCGAAACCGAGACCGATTGAATCCAACTGGTCCCTGCTGGTTGGGTGCTGATTTTTATGTCACCACAGACGTCCGCCCTTCAGCGCCACCAAGCCGACCCATGCGAAAGTCATCAAGCGACTGACACTAGTTGATCACCAGGCTTACGGTAACCAATCCTTATCAGTGCTTACTAATGAAAACCGGTGCTTATGAATGTTTACTCATGCTTTTCAATGCTTGCAATAAGAACTGAATCTGAAATTCAGACTGTGGACACCTGGATTTGGGGCGAACGCACGTTGGTCGGCAGAATCAAATGAATCATGTGGTGCGGGTCACATCGGACGCAGACATAGACAGCAAGACAAAGCCCATCACACTAGGAAAGGCCAATGTCATAAACCCAAATCTACCATTTGCTTGGGGATTGAGATACCCATAGCTCCTTGGCTCCCTTACAACCGGAAGCTAGGCAATGTACAGAAAATATACTGAACCCAATCGCCGTCGTTCCTTTTCATCGCGAAACCAATTGCCCCAGCCGCGCGCCGAGGCCACCGAAGCCACGTCCATCGCCCGCGGGCGCCGCGGGCGCCGCGGGCGTCGCGTCGAGCGCGTCGTGGTAGTCCGCGCTGTCGCTGGAGCCGCAGCGGCTCGTCTCCAGCGACATCTCGCCGTCCTGCAGAAATCCAATGGAAATCCCATATGTTGCTATGATTTTCCCATATTTTGGGGGGATTCTCATGGATTTTCCCGAACTAGAATGGAATCATGTGGGACCTGGGAAACCCAATAAGAAAGCCAATGGAGTGTTGGTCATGGAGTCATGGATAGTCATGGATTCCTGGAGTTATTGACCCTCTGTCATTCCATTTTCCATTTTCCATTCGGCCTAGGTGTCCCTCTGTGAAACGTCGCAGGGGGCAGCCAATGGAAAATCAATTTCAACCCCCTATTAGGATCGAAACCCCTGCCAAATCTGTGCCCACTTTCGTAATAGGTCGACCAACTTTCTCCATGAAAACGCGGTCCAAACCAGCAACGGCAGCGCTAGAGATCTTAATCTTGTAGCACCTGGTCCAGAAAGGAAACATTGATCCTGCGGGACGTCGCCTCGTAGGCTTGAGATCCAAGCCAAATGCAGTCCCCAGCCGGCGGATGTAGTGACTCATCCATGTGGAACGCTGGCAAAAGTTGAATTGTTGGTGATTGATAGGGCCATCTTCACCGGGCATCCATTCCTTCTTGATACAAATGGGGCCCCACCTGCCGGTTTGCAATTGGAGGTGGGCCAGCATCTGGTAGGACGAAAGCCACTGAGGTGTGGCACTATTGTCAACTGCAACTGTGCGCAGCCAATTCAAAACAAGTTCCCCACATCCTCCCAAAATAACATGCTGCGCACGGTCGGTCCAGCAAGGGATCGGGTCAAAAATGCACAATGCTGCATCCTCCTCCTTGTGGGACTGTGGCGCTTCATTCGGTCCGGCTTCTGGTACTGACAACGTTTTGAGCTGTTGGGCCCTTTGACCTACTGCTGTGAACAACCAGTGAATGGCGTCTCGAAAAACTTTCTTGGAAATGTAAGCTTTGTGCAGCTTATCCCAAAGCTGCCAAAAACTTGGGTGAAACAAGCTGCGGGCTTCCTGTGCTGCCTTGTCGGCCGCATCGTTCCCAGCAATTGCCCATCTTTCAATGGGGTCTGCATACTGTGAGCCATCTTCGTGTGAGTGAACTTTGACGACTTTAATGAGCAACTGGGCCTCTACCGCTTCTTGGCAAAGCGCGGCTGCTTTGAGCCACAGGTCATGGTCATTGTCCATGTTGCCTAAGTCAACCAGGCCTAAACGAAAATTCTCAAGGTTCCTCTGGACTTGCAAATTATCAACCCAAATGATGGAAGGTTTTCCTTCATGCAAAATCCATTCGAGTGCAGAGATAGCCGCAGTGATTTCGGCTCTCAAAACAGTTTGCAAGATACCCTGGACCATACCTTGAGCCACCGTCACAAAACCTTCATCAGGCAAACTGGCAAGGACAACTGCCCATGTGACGACCCTCAGTTGACGGTGTTTAGGAAACCATCCACTACCATCTGTGAACAAATGGGCAACTGGGAATTCACAGGAAACAGGGAAGAAAATCCTGGTGCGGTCAGGCAGTGTCATGAGTGATCTACGAAACTGCACAAGTTCTTCCGGTTCACAGATCCATCCATGATTCATGGTGCAAGGTGGGAGGTTGTGAATCTCGGCTCTGACTTCGTGTGGGATCTGTGCGATGAGGTCAGCATTGTGAGAACACTCCCAGTGTCGGTGTCTCACCGAGTCTTCTGCATCACACCATGGACATGTAGTTGTGTCTACGACTCCACTGTGAATCAGTTTGTCGCGGGTGTAAAAGCTTCCATTTAAAGCATAACGAATGAACCCTTGCATTTGTGAATCTTTCTGAGCAAAATTTTCCAGCGTAAAAAGAACATCAGCATTGGCTAGTCCAGACATGGATTTCCTCTCTGCTGCCGTAGCACAGGCCAGGCTTTGCCACCCGTGCTGCAACCGTTGCTTCAAAAGGTTGAGGGGAGAGTCGCAAAGGTGGATCAGGAAACCCTGGTGGTCTCTTACCCAACCCTGACCTTCCCACGCCCAGGCTATGGCGTGGAGTCTTTGCAATAGCACCCCACAGGGGCCTGGATCAATGCGTTTCTCCGGGTGTAGGATGAGAAAATCCAGAGTTTCCGATGAAGAAACAATGTCGGCAAATCTACGAAAGGCCACAATGGATTGCCACAAACACCAGTAACCTGGATCACTACGGATATCGCACAAGCAAGAAAGTTGCAACATTGGGTGCATCCCTTTGTTTTTCCATCCAAAACTCCGCAACGCTTTGGTCCTCAATTTGCTGATGTGTTCTTGGCCAAAAATAACCGTGCTGATACCATGGAGAGCTCTTGGCCATGCTGAGACTCGGAGGCAAATCTCTTTCTGGTGCTGGGGGGCGCAGCTCCTGGCAAGTCTGGCCCAAAACTCAGGCTGTGCATACGCGCGGCTGCGAACAACTTTGTTTGTATGACGTCTGCAAAAGGTCATTTGGGCACCTAAGTCTTTGGTGTCTAAGACTACCCTCCTACCAGACTGACGGAGGTGTTCTCTGGCTGATGAGTTGGTGGCCCAGAATGCCGTTTTCGCCGTGTCAAGCTGTACATCCAATGCATTGCAAAAAGCCTCAATGGCATCTAAGCTGCTGGCAGCTGCTTCAGGCGTGTGGCTCGTGGTCTCTAAATTATCAACGAATGTCCACAAACTGGCAGATGGTTCAGCTCGGCCAACCCATTCGAACAGGGCCAAATTGGTTAAGAACATCGAGCAGACGCTCAGTGGATCCCCCTCCGGGAATCCTGTGGTGGATCTCATGGCTGGCCCGGTACCGCCGGTGATCACAAAACGTCTCTCAAGGCCTGTTATTGCTCTGAACCAGGCATGCAGAAGTGTGGGCGGCAGCCGCATGTGTTTGGCTATGGCAAAAATGGGTATTCTGGGGAGACAGTTGTAGCATTTGACAATGTCACAAAGCCCTCCACAAAGTTGGTCCCCATCATACCAGGTCTGTTCCACTGCTGCTGCAATCGACCACCAGATGTAGGCACATTCTTTATGGGATCTGTTGCCGATTAACCCCGGCGGGGCAAATTTGCTGAGCCAAGCAAGAATCTGTTTTGTTCTAATCGAGGCCCAATTCCGATAGGCCATGGGGAGGACACAGATCGGCCTATAATCCGATGGTGTTGTCGCTTCTGCATGTTTCTCGATGGCCGTAATCAACCCTACCTGCAAGGCAGAGGGCCAAGGCGCCCCTTGTTCAATGGCCCAAAACATATCCAATAGCTGTTGAGTATGGCTGTTGGGCAGGCGTTGCAAATCAAGTCTGGAAACTCCGTCAGGCCCTTTGGCCGACTTCCCCTTCTTGGTTTGCAGGGCGCGGTGCCATTGGGAGAGGGTGATAGGGGAAAAGGGCATCTCAGTCGGAGGTAGCGGCATGGAATCAACAAAACTGCAAAAGGGGTCCCAAGTTCTGGCATCGGTGTGTCTGTGCTTGTCCCACCTTGCTTCCCACAACGCTTGGAATTGGCCAAACATCTCCCTGCGGTCAGCGATGAATTTCTCTTGTGTGAGAACATCTCCTACCTCTATAGTGTCTGGGTCAAGCAGCATTTGCCCCAGGCTGTGGTGGGCAATGGTGAGGGGGCCGTTCGGCCCTTGGACAGGTTCATTGGGATCCAATTCCCCTGGAGTGTAGTAAGCTCTGCCTTCTTCTGTGGTTTCCATGACTTCAGTTGCTTTCGTTGTCAGCAGCGTGTGAACTGGCATTGCCTGGGGTTTGGCAGTGTCTTGGTAGATCTTGTGAGGATCTTTCAGTCGGGCAAGTTTGGCGGATGCCCGGCGACTTTTGATGAGAGCGGCCTCAAAATCCATGAAAACTGTTTTGAACCCTTCAAAAATCAAAGAAGCATCATGGTGGCTGGGCGGCCAACGGGGAATTGCTGCAGGGGCCCCTGCCATTTTGACTGGTCTGTCAGGCCAGAATTTTCTGAAGCCTCTGGTGAAGCCTTGGGAGCACAGGATTGATCTCCATAGGGCCATCTGTCGGTCAAAATTGATGGTCTTACCTGGCTTCGGGAAAACTAATTGGCAATAGCTCTGCAATCTCCGGAGTTGGCGTGTCCAGTGGTAGTGCTGCCAGTGCTCCCCTATGAATTGTTCCTGAAAATCGGATTTCCTGGGTCGCTTCAGTGGGGGGATCTCTTGTTTCTTCCACGCCACTTCATGTGTGGCTGCCCGGCCCAAATGGGCCTGGGTAAGCCCCTGCTGGCCTCCCTGTCGGAGGTGTGCATCAATCTGCCTTTCTGTCTGTTGCCAAAATTCTCCCAGGAAAGTCTCTGGCTTGGATGGGTCAAGGGCCAATGCTTCCGGCTGGAAGTTAGTTTCTACTTTGTCCCATGGAAGATCCAAGGGTTTTCGCCAAACTGGGATAGGCTCCATTGGGCCCATGGGTGCAATTTCCGCATACACCAACGCGTGGTCACTGAACCAGGTGTCATCCACCACAACCTTGCGGACAAAAGGCAAAATTTCTCTGGAGAGCCAGAGGTGATCCTTCCGTGTTTTGTGATGGCAAGTGTTGGTGGGAATCTGTCCCCACATGTGGTGAGCAAATGTTTGTGCTTCGACAAAGCCATAGTCATTCCAAAGTTCAGCAAGGTCAATTTGGTGTTCTTCCAGGTTGAAATCGCCCAGCAAGAATCTGGGGCCATGACTCTGCAATGTGATTCTCTTCGTGACGGCTTGCAAGAGGTCACAAGTGCTTTCAATGACTTTTGGTGTGTGGCTGTCCTTGGCGTAGCCATAGGTGATGGCTCCTCGGATCCATTGGCCTGCGAAAAAGGCAGCAGATTGGATGCGGCCTGAAAGCCATTGGTCACTAGTCCAATCATGGTTCAAGGCTCTGCATGGGAACTGACTGCAAAAACCTACCCCTACATGTTTGCCCCCAATCGAGGCGGCATTTGTGCTGGTGTAAGGGGCAGGAGCTCCCGCTACAAATTTCCAAGGTGCTCCAGGATTGGAACATTTGAGTGTTTTCTGTAGATGGTCAATACCTCCAGAAGTGAGGCAAGTCTCGGAGAAACCCCAAATTCCTTTGGGAAGTTTTTGGATAATGTCTGCTTTGCTCAACAGGTTGTTGGCATTTGCACATCCGATAACAAAAGTCTCTTCGGAGGGGCCTGGGTGTGTGGCTTCCCCAAATCGGCAGCAACTCAAAAGGATCAAGCAAACCAGCCAAAATCTGCCCAAAACAGCAGGAACAACATGTTTGCGACCAGGACGTTGAGGCCTCGGATTCTCTGTGCAGCTAGGCTTACTATGGGGGTCTGTGAAAAACCAGGCAAAGGGCCAGAGCCATGCCCCCAGACTAATCAAAAGGGCAATGGCTCGCCCACCCCGTCATTCATTGGTCTTCGGCCGCTTGGCCATGATTCTCTCGATCTCAGTAAGCTGCTGAGTGAATCTTTGGTCCAACAGGTGGTTGAAGGTGGCCCCCTGTTCTGCCACTTGTGTTTGGACCTGCTGCAGTTGATGTTGAACCTCATTGTGCTGGGTCAAATAAGCTTGGTGATGCTGCTGGACATTGTTCTCCAATCTTTGCATGCGCAGTTCGAGGTGGTTGATCCTCTCATCCTCCACTGTCATTGTTGTGTCACCATCTGTTCTGGTCTGGTGACTCAGGAGCTTTTGGTCAAGGCGCTGTTCCAATGCTTCCAAGTCCATCTTGGTGGCCGAAGGTCTAGCATTGGTTTTGGCTGCTTTTGGCGGTGTTGTCCAAGGGTCATAGTGGGCCCATGGATCTTCGTCAGGATTGCTCACAGTGGCTTTGGTGGAGAGGGCCGCTAGGGTCTTGGCACTGGCTTGCAAATCTTTCGGTTGGGGCGGGCCCTGCTGCTTCTTGGGTGGGTCCAACGTCACCAACACGTCACCATGATCAAGTTGGTAAACTTCACTGTCAGGGGCAGTGGCTGCCAACAGTTGCCAGAGTACTCCCTTGCCATCAGCCGACCTGGCCTTTGGTTGTACTGGCTTAGCATTCCAATCCCATGCTCGGCAGATCTTCAGGATGGCTGCTCTGGTGGAGCCTGGTGGGAAAGGACCAACCGTATAGCTCATCAAGGCTGTGGACTCAATCCAGGGTGTGTTCGGCTTGAATTGGTTGTGAAGTGTCTCTGCATGATCTTCAGTGGTGCGTAGCCCAAATCGGGTCCCTGTTCTGGCAAGGCAGCTCCATGCTGTGGCAGTCTGGACATGTGCCTGGAGGCTTTCTTTGTCCTTGTTAGGTAGCCAAATGACTCGGTAAGCCGGGTCTGGCTTTCGGCCATCATCAGTGCGAGGCTCAAGGAAGATCCCGTTGCGGCCGCTGAGATTAAGCATGGGTCTGATGTCAGTCAGGGCAACTCTAATTGTGACAATAAAGAGTTGAGCATAAGTCGGCGAGGCTTTTTCCAACTTGAGATTGACAAACTGTCGGTCCCAAAGGTCAAGGATTGGATTTTCCTTGGCTTCCTGCTTCTGAAGGTCGGGTAGGTGGTGAAGAATGGATTTAACCGGGTTCTTGGTAAACTGGGTCCATTCTCCTTCCCAACAGTCACGAAAGGCAAGCAGTCGGAGGACTTGGTTGGGAGTCTCTTCCACCTTCAACTTGTGCGTTGGTTCATTCCTGGAAACAGGGATGGCTCCAATCTGGATAAGCCTGGCCGCAGTGATAATTGGTTCTGCTGTTGTGACACAGCGTCCTGGAAAGCGCATGACTTCCCCAATGCACAGAATTGGGTCGGCTGCATGATCGAGCACCAGGAGGGCTAACCCCTGCTTGGAAACCGGCTGTTTCATCTGCAAGAACGGCGCTGCCGTCTGGCTGTCTGTGACGATCACTCCTTTGGCATCAGGACCAATCTGCTGGATGGAAAGCTGTTGAACGGGTTCCCCGTCGGCCTGTCTGAACACTCCCGGGGGGATCTCTACATCTTCCGGTCGCAGTCGTACCGGTGGATTGGTGGCCTTGAAGGTTTTCTTCTTTTTATGCCCAATGGGCACACCGGATTCAGCTCTGGTCTTAATGGCTTCCGAAAGTTCAGTTGGATGGACCAATTGAACCTTGGGGATCTGTGCATTCGCCTTGGCTTTCAAGTCACGCCATGGGTTGGGTGCTCTCATTGATGCAATGATCCCTTGTCGTCCCAGCTTTGCCAAGACTACATTGGCCCTCTCAGAAGCAAGTGGCTTTGGTACTCCATGTGTGCCAAGGAGCTCTGCAAGTTGGGCTTCAAGGTTATCCCCACTCTTGGTTCCCCCCAACAGAAGATCCCCTGGTCTGATGTAGGTCCAAGCCCCCCCTTGCTGCAGGAGGTGGTTCTGGAATTGGTCCCTCCAGGCACTAGCTTGGGTTGCTGTGACGGCTGCACAAGGAATCTCACTGCAGGAGTGGTTGCACGTCCACACCGCTGCCTGGAAACCGCAATCTCCTGCAAAGATGTGTTCGATCTCCCTGGTTTGGATCATGATCTCCTGACTGAGCCATGCTGGCCAGCTTTGCTCCAAATCACCATGTTCCATGTCATCGGATCCTGCACTGCGGATGTCACGAATGATTTCCCCTCCATCAAGTGTGGTTTGGATGGTCGTTTTCCCGTCAAGGGTGCGGAAAAGGAATGGGATCCAATGCTGGCAGATAAGGCATGCAGTGGCAATCGGCTGCTGTCTTGCATATGAATTGGTCAGGTTGTATCCAATCCAATTTGAGATTACTCTGAGTGCCTGGCAATACCCTGTCTTGGGTGGGATTCCAATGACCGGCTCAACATGGGTGCCTGCAACTGGCGCAAACTGTTGAAGATAAAAGTTCATCTCATCCATCGCAACATGAGAGTGCTGCTCAAAGAGCAAATGAAGCCTGGAATAAACATCTTGGGTCGGGGATTGGAAACCTCTCGCATCTTTGGATTCAATTGGGCATGGGCTACTGGGAGCCCTTTCATGAAAGTGCACTTGTTGGAACGGTTCAATCTGGGCCAAAAGAGGAAGAGCATGTCCCAAGTTGTTACATGCAATTGCAAAATGGCCAATAGTGCCCATCGATCTTTCGGCTTGAATCAGCTGGTGCGCTGTGATACCCATGGGGGCCTTCACAATGATGGGCCACTTGGAACCTGGGTAAACGATTCGGAGTGTGCAAAGATGCATGGCAGGGGCATCTTGGTGCAAATCAGGTGTTGAATTTCTGGTGGCCTCTGGACGGTCCACACTTTCATCATCCGGGTGGGGGGAGGGGCCTGCAGGGACGAAAGCCGCAGCAGGCATGGCCTGAACAGACATGGGAGGGTGGAGTTCTCGCGGCTCCTCCGCCTCAATCTTGTCAGGTTCTGGCGTCCTGCTCGCTGGCTGGTTGTGAATCTTCTCAGGTTCTGAGGTCCTGGGCCTTGGCTGTTTGTCGATGTTCTCGGGTCCTGGGGTCCCGGTCCCTGGCTGTTGAATGCTGTTTCTTTTGTCTTTCTTGTCATCATGCATGAGTGGGTCCTTCCGTCCCATCCGGTGGCTGGTTGTCTGGTTTTTGTCCAATTCCCCATGGGGAGTTTCACAATCGATCACTGGCAGAGCTGTACAACCGGAGGTAAGCGCTTCGCTTGTGCAACCATGATGTGAATCCATTAATTCCCGGCTATCTACAGCAGTGTCAGGAGGACACAGGTCACCTGCGGCTGCAGGGGCAGAGGGAGTGGTGTCTATTGCATGGCAAGGCATAGGGGTGGCCACTTTGGGCTGCCCTTCCACTGTTCTGCACGAATTACCTCTAAATGGGTTAGTGCCGATAGGGTCAATGGCTTTGGGTGTCCGGATGTTGGCAAAGGCCGCTGTCTCAGAAGCCTGTTTGCCGGCAATTCCACCAACGTCAGTGGTCATGGACCCTGCCTCGAATGCACCGATGTGAGGAGCAGGAGCTCCCTTGGAAGGAGGCCTAACCTCAAAAGTCGAACCCTTCTGCACAAACATGTTCCCCGCCTCGGATGCACGAATGTGGGAGTCAGGGGCTCCCTCGGCTACAACTCCAAAAGAATTGGTTAAACCCTTCTGTACATCAATGTTCCCCGCCTCGGATGCACGGATTTGGAGATCGGATGCCCCCTCGGATGCAACTCCTAAGGAATGGTCCAAACCCTTCTGTACAGTCGTGTTCCCCGCCTCGGATGCACGGATGTGGGAGTCTGATGCCCCCTCGGATGAAACTCCTGAGGAGTGGTCAAAACCCTTCTGTACAATCATTTTCCCTGCCTCGGATGCACGGATGTGAGAGCCAGTTGCTCCTTTGGAGGGATCAGGGTTGGTGAAGGCTTCACCAGTGGACCCGTTCTTAGAGTCTTCATGCCTCAGTGAAAGGACCTTGGCACCTGGCAACAAAGTGGGTTGGCTCTCAACTGGCCATGTGGCAGTCAAAGAAACAGACGGTTTGGGGGTTTTGGGAGACCCAACCTGGAAACCTGGAATACCTCCTGTTGATTGCCAGCTAGAAATCGCTTTTGGTGACAAAACTGTTTCTTTGGGCTCAGTCAACTCAAATTGTTTCCAATCCTCTTCAGAAGCAGGATCCTCCCGAAGTGGTGGGATCTCCGGTACAGGAAAAGCCTCTTTGCAGGGGGATTTGTGGGCACAAAACTGAGTCAAAACCGCCGACAAAGATTGTGGTTTCAATCCATCTTTGATACCATCTTGTTTGGGTTCAATTTTGGAGTCCCTGGGTGTTTCAATGTTGTCCAGATGGTCAAATGAGTCCTGGAGAGTGCTGGCAATGCTCTCGGCGTCAGGAAGTTGCCTGGGCACGATGCGGGTGTCGGATGCTGCCATCAAAACCTTTTGGATCATGTCAGTTGTTTTTTGCACTCGTGGAGTTTGGCTAATCCCTGGAAACATTGCTTCACGATCATGAAAAACCGACTCCATCATCTGCCATAGGATCCGTTCTGGTGTCATGATCTCCAAACCACATGACCGGTCGGAATTGGCAAAATGAAGTTGAGCAACAATCCATCCAGATTGAAATGGTGAAGCCATCTGTCCTAGACCTGACAACGCTAACTTGAGGTGTGGCATCCACGGCCTGTTTGGTGCAAGACCCTGCAAAAGGCTGAGTTCCCAAGGGTGAATGTGACGCATCCTGGGCACCTGCAAATCACCTGAAGTAAGGACCCCTCCGAGTGGGATCAAGGCTCCATGCATTCCTCGTTTCTGGAGACGTGTCAAACTCATGGCAAATTGACGGCAACCACATGGGCATGGGTCAAGTTGGTTTCCCCATCCATGAAGAGAAGTTTTCAATTGACCCTCCAAGTTAATGAGGTTTTGGTTAATGCCCCCACATTCTTCGAACTTCCGATACTCATACAAACCAACTTCCAATTGGTGTTGTTGGTCCTCTGGCCACACCGGAAAACAAGGCAGGATGTCCCCTACACGAATGAGGTCCGGAAAAACTGGAAAAGGCTCAAGCGTTGGTGGAGCAGACCCAGGAAAAGTCAGCAAGCACCACCAGCGTTTTCGGTTGGTACACCAGATCTGGTTGAGGTCCAAGGTGATCTCTCTGGCATTGAAACGGGTCACTTGGCACCACTGTCTAAGCTGCTTGAGGACCTTCTTGTCCTGACGAGCTCCTACTACACATTCAAGCAGCACGGAATGGCATCTGAGTAAGTAAGCCGCTCTCAGCACAGACTTCAGTGTGCCAGCTCTGGCATCGAGGGATTTTCTCTGATCTCCCATCTGGCTCCATGGTTGACATGGGAACCCGGCTCCCATCATCGCCGGTGTAGGGTGCTTACTGTGGATCTCAAAAAGAACCGCATGACTACCTACATCCCCAGTTACTGTTGATTGAAATCCCTGATGTTGCATAAGCATGGTGAACTTGTCCCGAATGTCATTGGTGACCTGGATCTGGATCCCATTGGCCCGCAGTCCTTCCCCCAAAGCGCCAATGCCAGCGCACACTTCAATTCCATCTCTGAGGTGGCCACTGGACGGGATGGCATGTTCTAGGATAAACCCAGCATTGACGACATGAAAACCAGATTTTCCACTCGTCAAAAACCCATCCAACACAGTAATGGCAACAGTGTCCTCCTTAATGGTCGCCTCCAACGTCAAAAAGGTCTTGTGAACAGCAGTTAGAACCAAATGTTTCTTGTTCTCTGGGTCCTTGATGATCAAATCTGCTATGAAATCAGCCCTTGTTCCTTCTTGGCATGATTTCCAAGAAGGTTCCAATTCTAAGTCATCCTCCATGCAGCTACCCCCCCAAACGATCCGCCAGCGCAGCTGTACTACTGGCAAGAGTTTGGGCCCACAGCTCTCTGTCATTCCATAATACTGGTTGGTTTATAGGGACATTGTTGTAATATAAAGTGTAGTATAATCCCCGAACTAATCATACTAATCATCAACCAACAGAGGTTTTGTCTGCTCATATGTTTTGGCCATGGAGACATGGCAGTTAGTGGTGATTTCATGTTTTTTTAGAAGCAAAACTGGTGATTCAATGGGACTTTCCCAGCAAAACCTCTAGTGTTTTTCCCATTTATTGGATATCATGTGGAGATGTCATGGTACCAATGGTATGTAAGTGAGACAACCATCGGTTGAACATGTTTTTCAATCTGTACCTTGGAAAACCTGTAATTATGTTGTACTTCCGAAATCTGAGGTGAAAGACTCTCTGGGACATGGGAAGTTGTAATCCTTCTGTGTGGCATAGCGTAGTACAGCACCACTTTTTTTGGGCTAAAACATTGCAGCCTCTCTGTCGAGCTGGCGGCCCCTTCGGGCGACGCCGACTGGCGGCAAGTCAGGAAAAGCCCGGCAAAACGGTGAAACAAAACCATCACCATAGAGTACAAGACTCCCAGCCAAGCATCTACTTCGGTGGTGCTTGGTGTATATCAAGCACCACTGAAGTAGAACAAGTCCACACCGATCAAAGGTCAAGTGTGTGACCATCACTCCAGTCCCAGGCACTCCAGCAGCTCCGTTCCGGTGTCGACGATGACTGGGAGCAGCCCGGCATCGCCATGGCAGGTGCAGGCCAGGACGGGGACTGCAAAATGCTTGAGGGACAGCAAGCCCATTTAGCCACTGAAAAGGACATGCAGGGGCTGAAAACACCAAGGAGTTGTCGATCGTTGGTCAGCACCTTACCCTTCAATCAACAGGCACTGGCAAGGTGGCATCAAAAAAACATGTTGGAAAAGGATGGAAAAGGGTTGTTGAAAATTGAATGGCATATTACTTGCTGTTTCAAAACCAACTGTGCCCACTGGTAATTTAATATCGCTATATGAATATCATTTTTTTGACGGGTATATAATCTATGATCATCTATAGAAGGACAATGTTCTTCGATGTTCATCAATTCTCCATAGCTATGTTGAATTACCGGAGGGTGGTCATTGTTGTTATTCAATACACCTCGCTTCTTCATCTATTTCCACCATGGCTTTCTGCAGGAACGGTGAAAACTCCTCCACGGGCACAAAGCGCCGAGAGCGTACCGCCCCAGCGGCCCGCACGCTGGGTGCGGGGCCGGAGGGGGGGCGAGCAATGAAACTTCCTGAGGCCAGGGCTAGGGCACCCTCTGGTAATCCAACGTGACTGGAAAATCCACCATAGATGATCCTAGCTATAAATCTCCATTTGGTAGAGGATTTCCCCGCCACGTTTGGTACCTGGCATCAACAACTTGTTTGTCTTCCCAGCATTTAATGACCCAATATATCACCATTATTTCACCATGTCTCCTTTTTTTAATAGTTTATATTTGATGGTGTATCCACTACAAATCACCATGTTGGCTAGTTGATGCTAGTTTCTTAGTATCTTAGTTATATCCCCATGATATTTCCATTATATCACCATGATATCCATTATATAGAAATATTTAGAAATCCCATTTGTTCATGCTAAAATAAAAAATTCCCCATGATATCCTCATGATCTTCCCATTAAATCCACGATTTTTGTTGCTTCTCTGCCTCCGCGCCTCCATCCGATGCCTCACTGGGCGAATCGGGGGCCACTGGGGCCACCTGCTTCAGAGGTCCGAAACCTCGACAAGTTTCGAAACGTGGGATTTCGCCATGGATCTACCCTCTGGTAAACATACAAAAAACGATGGAAAATCACCATTTTTGATGGCTAAATCCACTATTTCGACTGGGCCATTTTCAATAGCTTTTTGTACGTTTACCAGAGGGTAAGTCATCCAATGGAAGTTCAAAGGAAAACCACATCAAAAACTGGGGGCTTTCGAAAAACCAACGGTTTTGGGGAAAAAAAACTTGCAACAACTGGGGGATTCAACCATCAAACATGGGGGATTTAATCAGTGCCATGAAAATAAATTTGACCAGCAAAAACCTGGGATTGGAACAAAAAGTGGGATTGATATTATCAAAATGAGTCTTGAAACCAGCAAACACTATGATTTACACCAAATGAGAGGTGACACCACGGAAAATTGGTCTTGAAACCAGCCAAGATGAGGTTTACCCCAGCAAATGATGGTTTTTTCGTTGACAAAATAAGCGGGTTTCAATGGGATGAGACGAAAAAACTGGGCAGCAACAGGGTGATGGTGCCACCGTGCCACCAACATGGAAATAACATGTTTTTTTTTAGAACTTTGAAGCAGCCATGGGAGTTGGTTTTAATCCTAACACTTCGCCAACCGCCCTTTTTTGGCAAATCTTTGCCGACAAGGACTGCTTTCCCAGATCTAAATGAATCGATTTAATGATGGAAAAGGGGCCAATCATGCTTCAAAGATCTTCAAAGACTACAATGGGGCATTACACTTTAAAAATAGTTCTAAAAAAACAAATGGGGCATAAAGAGCGTGAAAACCACAGCATCTTCCCTTACTGTCACATGTGTACCTCTAAATAGCCTTGGAACATCACCCTTTTTTCATAGGTATAAATCATCTATAAGTGAACCAGATTCCAAAACTGTGTTAAATGACGTGATGATATGCAATCATCTGTGTAGCACCTTTCCTTGCTGCGACCTATGCTGTGCATGTTTGCGCATCACCAGTTCGCAGAGCCGACCAAGGAGCTCAAAGACCGTAATTTGTTCCAAGCAGAATTGCCATTTCTTACTGACACTGCATCGTAGTACCTGCACATCAAAGGATTCAACGGTTGAACTATGAGAATCTGGGGATTGAAGCCACATCAAAGGTGGCCATCGACCAACGAAAAACATGTACGGCTTACCCATCACCTGAAACATTTCACCATGGAAAGTCCAGGCTCTTTTTCCGAAGCCTCGCCGGACTGAAAAGCCCCACGGTTGAGAACATATTCTGAAGATTCGATTGCCATAACTTGGGGGAATCTTGCCATACTGCTCCGACTTGAACGAATATGTACGTATTTATGTAATGAATGAATATATATATATAAATATATATAATGTATAGGTATCAAACTAACTACATTTATATTATAAAAATATCACGGACAGCTTCACGGTCTCAGCAGGCACAGCAGCAGCAGTGCCGTACTGTCCAGCAGTCAGAACCTAGATTGGCCGGGCCACGTCGGCAGTGCGACGAATGGCCCTGGAACTGGTGAAATCTCCAAGCAAAGCCTGGCAACGTGCAATGTCTCCGCAAGGGAGGCGAATAAAGATTCCCCCAACAGGCTTGCACACTCTGAGATCCACTTTGCTCAATTTCGAAAACAACACACTAGAATCCTCCAAACAAAACCCCACAAACCAAACCAAAGCCCGACGAATGTATCGCATGACATAAGCCAAAGTGGGTCTCTCAAATCGGGAATCCAAAGTGCAAAGTTCGGTCAAACCACTGCCTGCATTCTGAAAAGGAAACATGAAACGAAAATCCCTAACCAACCAAATAGACAACTCCTCAAAACTCAGTGGATAGACCCCTGAGGCCTCGTCCACATGACTGGCAAGGTGGTCAACCAATGCAAAAATAAAATCAGCCGGCAAGTCCGCAGGCCGACTGTTGGAGTTGCAAATCAAATCCCTGGCATCAAGAGTGTACAAATCGCCAAAAGAAGGCTGCAACTCATCAACAAAACCAAACAGTGAAACGTCATGGCTCTCAGATGGCTCAGTTGGAACTTCAGGCCCGTTGGCCGCAACTTTGAAATAGAACGCCTGCAGCTGCCGCATGCGTGCCGCGCTCTGCTCAAAGTGAAAGTTCATGTCATCACGAAGACGGAGGAACTCCCTTGGTCGGCAGAAATTGTACTGCCCAATGGCAAAATCAATTCTATCATTCCAGCATCTAACCCAGTCTTCAAATGGATCCCGCAACTTCATCTCGTCCAAATGACTGGGAACCCAATGTGGCTCAAGTTCAAGCTGTCCAAGTTGTTGCAGCAGCAGATGGATATTCTCCCAAATGTCCTGGTTGGACCAATCTCCTATCTCCCCAGACCGGAGAATATGAGAGATACCATCAGCTACATATCTTGAATCAGTCCACAGGTGCATGCTGACCTCGAAGTGAATCTGCCATTGAATGGCGCTCCAAGCCGCCATCAATTCTGCCCAGTCGCTCGATTGGTTGAGCCCTGGCACGTGTCCCATCGCAACTACCTCTCCAGTAGTCGCATTCAGGCACCCCCATGCCGCTATCTTAGCCGGCTGGGTAGCCGCAGTTGCAGTACCATCAGTAAAGATGTGCTGAACCCCTTTTGATGGTTGGGAGGTAAAACAACTCGTAGTATCAGAAAGGAGAAGCAATGCCCTCTTCCAAGCCGCCACAAATGGTGACCTTGATGGCAACAAATGTGAACAAAGTGCTTGTGAATCACATGGATGCTGATCCTGCCAGCCTGCAATGTCTGCACGTACATTGGCAAATCTGGGACATCTCAACCAATGTTGGTTGGTGTCTGGGACTCCGCATAGAGCACCGGTCCCCTGCTTGGTCAAATCATAATGTGCCTGCGCGGCCTGGTTCATGAAGGCCCCAGACTGCAACGCTCCCATCAGTGCCTGCTCAAGGCTAGTCAGATTTTTGGCAACAAAGCTCAAAAGATGCGGGTCCAGCCCCTGCAAGTCACGCATCGTCTTCCGAGAAGCCACTTGGCGAGCAACATGTTGGAGCCAAGCATCCCATAGTGTTGTTATCAGCATTGAAGCATCCGCTGTCATCAAATTGAGATGACATTGGTCATGGTCAATCAAATAAGGGGGTTCAATCCTCCATCCAACTTGCCCTAAAACCACCAAAAGTTGCGAAAAGGGGCCACTAAAAAGGGAACCATCAAAATTCCACATGAAACTTTTCCATTCATTCAGCAGCCTGGGTTCTTTGCGCAGCAGCCGAGCAAAAGAGATAACTGTGTGCTGCATACGCCACCAGCTAGGGTCTGCAGTGGGAGTCGAGGACAAAGTTAGACGAAGAATGCTGTTGACCCCCGCATGTGAAAGTCGCAAGGCCTTCAAAGCTTGAGACCGCAGCTTGTCCAAGTGATTTTCACCCATGCATGATCCAGTGATGCCATGTAATGCAGCTGACCAGAAAACCATGGGCACGGCAGCTAACTTCTGTCGCATTGGCGCTCGACTGGTTTTCAAACGTTGCCATTTGCTGTGCAGTTTGCTAATCCTCCTCTGTTGGAGTCCAGTGAATCGCTTTCGAGTGAACGAAAGCGCACCTCCCAGCTCCGTTGCACTTTCCACTTTTTGAAAGGGAAGGATGGCCAATTGTTTACGCTGTCCAGAACTCAAAGCCCAGCAGTAGGATTTGCTGACATCAATAGCCATATTCCATAGCCGAAAGAACTCAATGACACATGCCAACCCAGTTGCAAGAAGCCCTGGTACCGAAGCCAGAAGGCTCAGGTTGTCCACGAAACTCAGCGCTCTAATTGACGGGCTGTACGCCCTCATATAGAGGTGCCACGCAAAAGACAACTGAACCATTCCAAAGACGCTCATCGCGTCTCCCTCTGGCAAACCGCAAGAGGAGGTCGTGCAAGAGCTCAAGTGTCCTCTGACATCGAAAGCTCGCGTACAATGATCCAAGAACAGTCGCCATGGAACAGTGATACGTGCTGGAACTCCCAAATGCTCCGCCAAAGAGAAAGAATGCTGGCGTGGTATAAAATTAAAGGCTTGAGTCAAATCTGTGCTGAGGCCGCACAAATCACCGTGGACTTGAAGTGTCCGTTCGATCTCTGCCTGCAAAACCAACCATAGTTGCGATGGTTCGCACCCCGGCATGAAGCCAAATGCCTCCACATCCATCTTCGGCGTCAACCAACGAAGCAACTGTTTTGAACGAACCCGAGCCCAAGTGCGATAAATCACACTGAAAATGACCACCGGTCTAAATCTATCAACCGTGGAAGCTTCTGCGTTTTTCGCCAGGACATTGACGACGCCATACAAAATTGCCGTGGGCCAATTGGTGCGCCCAAGCTCAATGTCATGAAGCAGGGCAAGCAGTCTTTCGGTCCAAGCCAGCGGCAAAGAAAGAAGATCTCGATGGGAGATCCCATCAACGCCTCGAGCGGCACTAGGCTTGTATCGCTTCAAGGCTCGATACCACTGGTCAGGCAGTATGGGTCCGAGATCCATCTGAAACTTCGGCACATAAGCTTGAAAGAAGCTAGTGACACGCTGCCATGTGTGAGCATCCACAGTGGACATCGCTTGCCACGTGGGTGTCCAGTACTCCAGCAACTCAGCATGAAGTGAGTTGGTGTCCGCAAGAGTGCAAAATTGCTCCACAAGGTCGCCTTGTTCAAACAAAGAAGCATCAGGCACTTGAATCACCACATCATTGATGATGTCAGGCTGAAACGTGACATCTCCAGCCATCCACTTGGAGAACCCTTTGGAAGCCACCGGTGCATCCAAGTGAAGTTGACCACTATCAACATCAACAGCCAGAACAGAAAAGGAGGTCTTCTGATGAAGCAAGTCCAATCTGTCTCTGTTTGGTGGCTTCAGGTCTTGGAAAATGCCCTGCATGCCTTTCTCATACTTTGTAAGCAGTAATTTGCCTCTTTGTCGCAAGTGCCAAGCTTCGTACTTCTCAAAGTTGAGCTTAAAGTCTGCAAAAACTGCTTCAGCAACTTCAAGTCCAGGAGGTGAACATGGAAAGCAAGATGGTGTATCAGGCAGGGCGTGAGCCCGATGATGGCGCCACCAGACAGAAAAGCCCTGTTTGAATCCAGGAGAACGTAAAACAGCCGCCCAAAGTTCCAGCCGATAGGCAAGTGCGGCTGGTGTTTGTTTGCCAGCCCTCACTGCCGCCACATAGCTTTGCAGCCGCCGTAGTTGGCGAAACCAATGGCGGACTTCACTGCCAATGAGGTCATTTCGAAGAACAACTTCACTTGGTCGGCTGGGTTTGAGCACTGGTGCTGAGGTTCTCCGCCGTATCGGCTGTGTTTGCTGGAGCCTGCCCTTCTGATGGCGCTGAAGCCCATGGCCCGGAGCATTTGGAAGATGCCCTTGAAGACTTTCCTCAAAAGAAGTTGCCCATTCGGCCCATTGTTGGTTTACATCTGCATGTAAGTCCCAATCAGGGGGCACCGCAGTTGAAGTCCATTGGGCATCAACTTCCGTCCAAGGAATCACCGAGGGCTTGGGCCATGACAACATTCTGGGGTTTGATGTGGGGATGCACAGACCCACAGTGATAGTGGAGTGTTCCGCAAAGACATCCGCCACATCAACCATCTGACATAATGCCGCCGCTTCAGGTGAAAGCCAAACAAGGTCACGTTCAGTAGCATGTTTACACGTGAACTGTGGCTCTTGACCCCAAAGACGTTCAGCAAGCTCTTGTGCTGAGATCCAGCCAAGCTGACGCCAGTAGTTGAAAAGAGGAATCCCCCAAGCATCCATGTTGAAGTCGCCCCCAATCAGTCGAGGCCCAGTCCCGCCCAAAATGATCTCAGTGGTTGCGATCTGGAGGAGCTCTTCAGTGAGCCTCAAGGCATTAGGCCAGGTAGGACCTTTGGGAAATCCATAGATGACCATGTTGGTGATGGCCGTCTGGCCAATCATGTGCCTTGTGGTGAGCATCCGACCGCAGTCACGTTCATTGATGTAGGGCAGTGACAACTCCTGGGACGGAAAGTCTGAGATTGTTGAAACTCCAGACCAAGTTCCAGCCCATGTAGAGGTGGTTCTGGTCGCTACTGGGGCGCCCATATGGACTCGAAGGAGTCGATTCTGGTTCCTGGCTTGCTGTCGAAGAAGAGCAGCGCAAGTCTTCTGAGTCTGCAGTGACAGCTGGGATTCTGAAAATGACCAGACTCCTGCCCCCAGTGCAATAGCCGTGGCTTCTTTCTGACGAAGCCCAGATGGGTTAGAAAATCCAAAAAGATGGCAGTCTGATGAGGGACCAGGATGAAGAGCTTCTCCCCAGCGAAACACCGGTTGGAGAGGGTCACCCCCAAAATCCAAAGGGTCGAGGTGTGAATGGCCGAGTTTGGCAAAGTCCAAGTCAGAGACAACACAAGCAGCAGCCGTGCAAAGATGAGAAAAGACAAAGAAAATCCAATAGAGAAGGCGGATGCGAGAGAGTGAAAGTCCAAATCCAAAGAGTCCTGGCGCCCTAAATCCAAAGGGCCCAGGCGGACCTAGTCAATCATTGCGCTGACGTTTGCTCAGCAGTGCTTCCAGTCGATCCATCTGGGAAGTGACTGCCGAAGTGACCTCTGCCGTGATGTCACCCTTGATGGTGCCCAAGGAAACTTGCATCGCTTGGTGCAACGAGTCAGCGGAAGTGTGAACTTCCGTGCGCACTGTCTGAAGGTCCGTTTGGTTTTGTTGAACTGCTGCATGTAGATGTGTCAGCTGTTCATCTTGCTTTGCCAATCTAGTGCCCGTCTCCTGGAACCAGGTGTGGAACTGAGATTGATGCGCCTTCATCTCAACAATGTCAGATTCCAGTCGACAAAGACGCTGGTCATCCTGTGATGATTGGGCCTGTGAATGTTTTTCTGCCCATTGTTTCTGCAGAGTTTCATGAAGGTCAGTTTTCAGCTGGTCAGCCAGTTTCTCATAGCGTTTGGCAGGAGCTGGTGTTGGATGACCCGTGCCATGCCAGTTGCCCCAAGGATCTTGTCCAGGAGACTCCCATGGGTCCGTCATTTGGGGTGCCGTACTTGTGGAAGAGGATGCCTGGGATCGCAAATGGCGTTGAGCACGTTGAGGACCCACCACCGTTGGGAGCTTTTCCACTTCCGTACGGTCTTTGATGAGGGAGATCAAGACATCTCTCTGGAAGGCAGGCATAATGTTGTTGGGCGGCTCAACCGCTGCCCCAACTTCCCAGGAGCTGCCCTCCGCCGATCCACGGGCTGGCTGCAGCGGCTTGGCTTGCCACTTCCATTCACGCAGCAATTGGGAGACTTGAAGTCTTTGAAGTCCGTGAGGGAGAGGATGAAGCCGGTAAATCTTAGTGACTGCTACCTTCATGAACTCTTCATTGGGACGAAGCTCTCTGAAAGCTGCTTCTTCGTAGGTTGAAAGCACACGGATTCCAAATCTGTGCTTCAGCCGCACCAGCGAAAGTCCATGACTGGTGAGCTTGAGTCGGTGACAAGCAGTGTCACGGTTGTGCCCAGCTCGTCTCTGAAAAGCTGTATCTTCAGCACATTCGTTGCTGCCAGATCCATGCTGGTGACTGGATCTTGAACTTGTTGACGAGAGATTTCATGATCACCAAGTTGGAGAAGACAACCATTGATCAGCAATGGATCCTGTGTTGGCAAGTATGTCGCCGGGAATCTAATGGAGGTCACATTGGCCTGGGCTTTCAAATTGCTGGGAACTTCTTCGGTAATAAGGAGGCCCAAAGCATCCGCAGAGATGTTCTTCTTCTCCCTGAGGTAAGGCAAAGCTTCCGTGAGAGTGGCAATGGCAAGGCCTCTTGAGTCAGCAGTGACTTGGTTGAGAGGAATTTGCTCCACTTGGTCACCCTCATCATCGATGAAATGAGCTGGATCAAGTTGCAAGGTTGATGGATCAAGTGCCAAAGGCGGTGATGTATTGGATTTGCCTGGCTTCTTGTCACGCTTTTTCTGAGTTGAGATCTGGGCCCCATGCTTGGTCGCAGCCTTGGCATCAATGAAGTCCATGAGCTCAGATTTGAGAACGTACTGAAAGTTGTTGCCTGGTTTCGTAGTCAACGCTTTGAGAGCTTGCCAAGGATTCCCATGAGCCAAAGCTCCTTGAATGGCCGGAGCACTCAACTTCTGTATGGCGGCAGCAGCTCTGTCTGCGGCAACGGCCGATGGAACTCCCTTGGTGGCTAGCAGAGCAGCTAGTTGAGCTTGAACATCCACCGTCAAGGGCCCTGATCCATAAATCCAGGGATCAGTGAAGTTCAGGCCCAGTGCAGGTCGGCGTAGGAGCCAGGAGTGAAAATCCAAGACCGTGGCTCGAGAAGGAAGTCCAAAAAGTCCAAGACGGGCACCGACATGAAGTAAAGCAACTGTGCCACAAGTGTGATCATCCAGCTGGAAGAAAAGGTGGCCTGGGTCGATCGACCAATTCAGGGAGAGCTCTTCAGAGATCCGTGCTGCCAATCTCATTGCCGCAGTGTTGACTCTTCCAGGGAGACCATCGCAGTAAAGCCAATGAATGGAGTCGACATGAAGCTGACCCCAAAGAAGAGCCCAATGCGATTGAGCCGGAAAGACACAGATAATCCTGTCATCCGACTTCGAAAAAGCAGCTCCTAAGTTGCAGTCTGCATAGGAGTCCGCCAGAAGAAGCAAAGCCTCTCTGGGTTTGATGATCATGGGCTTGAGATGACTGTTGAAAGTGCCCAGCATGACTTGCAAGACCCAGGTAATGTGTCCATCATGAAGTCCTTGTGAGACATCGTGGCCTGCAGCTTGGAGTGATCGTGTCGGCGGCCAATTTGGCAAAGTCGTCAAGTTCATAGGTTTCCAGACTCGAAAGTCAGCACCATAGACTCTGCCATCACGATCCACCAAGAAATTGACAAGCTGGATGTCCATGTCACGCAATGCTTCAAACAGAAATTGGCCGGCATTCAACAGGACCATCTCAAAGACACCTTGATGTGTGATGCCCACTGCAAAGACAGAGGAGGGTCTTGGGCGATGTTGATCACCAGTATGAAGATCAAATCGATAAGGTTGACTCATCTGTTTGAGCAGCATGCGCAACGACAATTGCTGGCCATCCATGGAAATGCCACCAGCCTCGTTCCACCCCAGGCATATTCTCTGAGCATCAAGCAACTGGGCAACGGTGCAGGCAACTGGACAATGAATGGCCAAGACAGACCCATCTGAGTCATGAAGTTGAAGCACCTGAGGAAGCTGCTCTGCCTGATGAAAGAGATCCTGGGTTTGACGAAGCAGCTCACGTTGATATGCCCTCAGCCATTCCAAAGGAGATGGTACAGGAGCAAGATCTCGAGCCTGGGCTACATTGTTCCGAAGATGGGCGTAAATCCAGACCATTTGGAGTGGCGAAGCCACCAATCCCAATAAGGCCAGGTGCTCACGTGGCCGAAAAGGATACTGCACAGAGTTGGGAAGACCGAGCAAAAGTCCAAGCTCTCGAGGATGGAGATATCGTGGATTGTGATGGACTCTGGACTGGACAAAGCAGCCACGTAGGCCTTTTCGTTCCAGAGATTGGCGACTGAACCCTGACTGTCGGCAGTTGCAAGGACACGACATAAGGGCGTTTCCGTATGAATGGAGAAACGTGTTCGCCACGTCAGAAAAGTCCAACAACCTTTTGTCACTTCCAAACTCAGGATTGGAATAGGCCAAGAACTCATATTCAAACAGCTGCAAGTCTGTCTCATCTTCATCCGTCCAATGACCCCAGCATTTGAAAATGTCACCCACAACATTGTAGGGACTGGTGGTTGGCCAAGGATGCAACCCATACGAGTTCCATTCTTTTGGTAAAAGAAGCGCCCACCATCTCTGACGCCGACATGGCCATTGCGCCTGAAGATCCAAAGTCAAAGTGAGCACCACCCAATCCATCGCCAGTGCAAGAGCTTGGATGCCCTCTTGAATCTCCATGTTGCACCCAGCTGCAGCCACACACTCAAGTATGGCGGATTGAGGATGCGTCATGAAAATGATTTGGAGGCCCTTCAAAAACGTGCAAAACCTGAAATCACTACTTCCTCTTTGCAACCCTTGGCAAGAAAAGGGTTGACATGGAAAACCAAAGACAACAGTCCCTGGGGACTCACCGAACTCTTGATGGATGATCTTCGCACATTCATCATCCATGAGATCCATCTGCAACACTTGACCATGTCCATTGGCATTCAAATGGTTACATGCCAAACCATTAAAATCCACAGACATCTTTGGAATACCGCCTAAAAAAGAGGCTCCAATCCCCATGCCACCCATTCCGGCGCATAATTCCAGCAGCAAAGGAGAAAGATCACGTGATGATTCGTCAAGACTGCACCACCACGAGGACTCCAGAGCCTTGAGGTAAATGAAGTCATCCTGGCCAACCTTCTGGTAGCCGTAAATGGACACCAAGCCCAAAGGGAGCAACTGATCCAAAATCAAAACAGGCGTACAACATGGGACCCTTTGTCCAATTGACGTGCCGTCTGCATGAGAAGTGATGTGCAGCTTCCCAACAAAGAGGAAATCATCATGAGATGAACCAAAGATATGGGGAGCCATGGGAACACGAAAAGAGGACCCGAGCGTTGGTAGAACCGGGTTAACCACTGAGAGGCCTCGGGCCGAAACCTATTTATATTATAAAAATAAAAACCGCATGACATTACATTATACATATACAGTAATATATACAGAAATATATAGAATAATTATATACTGTATACTGTATACCTGTATACACATGCCGTATACCACTTCGACGGGGTCCTGGAGAATTGCCGGAGAGGCTTGGCTGCGTAGCTGTTTCCAGCTGACTCAGTGACGCTGGGAAGACTTGGGGATACAAGGTGTGGGGTCCGTAGGAAAGCCTAGGAAAACCATGGCAAAACCATGGGAAACCCATAGGAAACCAAAGGAAAGTGGTGATTGAACCCAGAAAAATGGCGATTTAATGGGATTTATAGCTGATTTATGATAGAATATTAACAAAGGGATGTATTAGGAAAAAATGGATTCATATATATATATACATATATAATTATATATGGTATATACCCTAGGGTAAACCAACATGGATGTGGAAAAACCATAGGGAAACCCTAGGGAAATGATCTGCAACAACCATGAGGAAAACTCTGGAAATTCACCTGTCACAATCGATTGTGAACCACCAAAAAGAAGAATTTTTGCAAGCGGATAGTGCTGAATATTGATCGATATCATAAATGACAATTCTATAGTTGATCCCAAATATTTTTTTAAAGTTGGATCATGAATTTGAAGGTCTCCCTTGATACTAACCATGTGAAGGCGATGAAGCTGCTAAAGATCCAATACATGGCTTCACATCAACAAGCTGCCTATAGTTGTAGGGATTTACACATTTTCTCCCACATCATATTTCTGTTCTACAGCTAATTTCGACAAAAACCTATAGCTCACTCAGTAAAACATCATGTTATCTAAACATCATTTCGTTTCAACATCCTCTTTCATGGCTTCCCCGTTGTCGACAACGGGATAAATCAATGAAATCAAGGCCGTCCAAGAGATCCAAGAGGCCGGGGGTGCAGCGAGGGCGTGTAAACGCAAGCGCACTTGCACGTGCGACAAGGTCCGAAGCACCTCCTCACGGGATGGAGAGGTGTCCGGCCGAAGGCCGTGGACTTTGTTAACTGGCTAGTTTCCTATAGTTTTATGATGTTTTATGTTTAGTTAGTTAACTTTAGTTAGACTCTAGTTTCCTAGTTTGATGTTTCCGTGTAGAACAGAGAAAGTTGATTTTAGGAAAAAAAACAATCAAAAACCGAATCACCAAAAAAAACAACTCGACAGGAAGAGTCACCAGAAAAACACAAAAAAGAACAATGAAAAAAAACAAAAAAACAAAACCTGCATTTTCCTCAGGATTTTTTTCTTGTTTATCTTGTTGGTGTGTTTTCTTTTTTTGTCGTTTCCTTGATTTTGGTTTTCTAGTTTGTCTTTTTTGTTCGCTCTGTTTTTCTTTCTATTTTTTTTTGTCAAACCCTATATTCTCTGTGTTGCTGGACTCAGAATCCTAGTTAGTAATTGGATTATATATATTTTTGTTGTTTATAAGATGTTATAAGTCATTTACTAGGAATCGCTGATCCCACGGCCCATCTAGGTTTCTTGCCAATTTTAAACCTATGTGTCTGATTACAGTAAGCATCAAATTTGGAGGTAGCATATTTTCAGACCAACACATATTTCAATCTCTTGGAGATTCTTGGATGCCCAAATGTAGAATCGAAATTGAAGATCAATTGTATCTGGGGTAGCAAACTTGAATGAATTTTGGTGACCTTCTTCTCATTTGATATTGATTGGGGCTATAAGTCCCACTGAACCTGGTGTAACTTTTCATGGTTGGCCCCTGGTTTTCAGGATCTTCAGATTTCCACACCGTTAGGGGCAATTTTGATATAAAAACCCAAACCGTAAAACAGTTTGTCCAACTGATCCAACTGTTCCAACTGCGGTCAACGCTTGTGACTTCACCATCTACGACGTCTACGAATCCCTGCGAGGTCGCCCTGTGGGTCGCCCGGCCTTGTCACGTCCCAACGGCAAAAGGCCCTCGAAGCGACACTGGTGGGTCTGGCGCAGCTGAAAAGGTACCAGCCAGGGTCGTTTGCCATTGATCTGGGACTGGGCATGTGAAGTTAAGATTTCATTTGTGTGTTGAGCCTCCGATCTAGTAAACTTAGTAAACATGCAAGCATCCAAACGAGTCGTAGGATGTGGATGATGTGGATAATAGAAGCAATATTGCTGTTTCAATGTGTTCGTTCATGCTGTCTGAGCCCGTTTGTCACAAGTACTTTCCCACTAGCCTGCACGCCAAAGCTAGATAAGAGTTGGTATCGGCATCGATTGAATTGGTTGCAGCTGGCTCTGGCTCATCAAAGCATTAAACCACTTTCCCAGTAAACCACTAGGTATTTGGAGTTCGTGCTGATTCTTTGCAACTTGAACAATCCCTGAAACGAGAATAGGCTCAGCAAATGTGGACATATTCCAAAATATTTCGTATATAATTACACCAGTTACAATAAACTCTTCAACATACTTACAGTTACCAAGTTTAGGGAACATCCCCGCGGTTTTATTTGCTACTACCCAAATACTGGGAAGTATCATCAAATTTAAACCTAATTCGATGCCAATTTTTACTAATCTAAAACCGTTGGTTAATGGGGTTTTCCCAGTATACATAGTAGTCCCATCATCATGGGATCATGACTGCAACAATATTTACCAATGTTTAATCCAATAGGCCATGGAAAAATCCATCCATTATAGCCCATCATAAACCCGCTGTTAACCCATATGTTCCTTGAGAATGACGGTATCACGATATCTCCAAGATATATACCGAATACAACTCAATATTAACCCGTTACAACCTCTAATTAACCCACTATTAAACCAATATTAACACTATGTCCCAATATCAACTATGTCTTATCATTATCAGCCCATCTATATATATATATATCTCTCTCTATATGTGGTCATCCTGGAGTAGATAGAATATGGACATGTCCAAAACTCCTTCCTAGAATGTGAAAATGGTTGAAAATCCCATATTCTATCTACTCCAGGATGATTATATATATATACAGTGTATATACACATTATGATCATAATTAGTGTTATTATTATTGTTGTTGTTCCTATTATGACTATTATCATCACTACTGATTACTATCATCATCATTATATGACTCTCATGATCATTATAAATTCTATTGCCATTACTACTACTATCATTGTCATACATTACTATACGTATTTATTGTGATTGCTATTTTTATCATCATTAAATATCTATCTGGATAAATTATCATACTTCACTAACATGAAATAAGGCCATTTTGGGATGATTCCCCATATATAAACCATGATTCCAGGCTTCGGTCGCGACGTGAGGTCGTAACCTCAGAAATATATTATATAGTGGATTTACCCATTTTTGACATTGTGATTTTCCATAGTTATGTATCAGCTTACCAGAAGGTATTCAGTCAATATCCATGCAATTAGTTTAGTATAGTTTAGTAATATCCAATATCCCAGGTATATTATCATCTATCTATGAGAGTGTAATCCAGATTTATGAGATGTATATCCTCTGGTAAACTAACATAACTATGGAAAATCACCATTTTCATTGGGAAAATCCACTATTTCTATGGTCATGTTCAATAGCTTTTTGTATGTTTACCAGAGGGTATAACATGCTACAGCTGCTACGCTATGGCTTTTTCCATGGCACCTGCAACAGCTCCTCCAGGGGCATTTGGGCCGCGCCCAGCACCGTGCCATCGTTGGGATTCCGCTGACCTCGTGAACAACGGATTCAACAAAGGGAATATCGTGGAAATGGACGAAGGTATATTACATATGTAATTTTTATACATGGTAAATGTATACATTGATACATAGATTATATATTATAATATATGTATATATAAAATATATGAAGAACATTTTATAGAATAATAAAATTATATGTGTATATATATATGTAATAAAAATGGAAATATTGTATATGTATATATTGCATATGTATACATTATGCGAATACTTCTATGTATATATTATATATGATGTAAGTGGAAAAAAAAACATGAATATGTTCCTTTTTATAAAGCTTTCTTTGTTTTACTCTAGATACTCTAGATCTCTAGAAAAATGTAGAAATATAGAAATTTTGTATGTACCCGATCGTTTGCACACATTGATCAGCAGTGCTATCCATGTTTATGGGTCAAGTGAGGGAAAGGGCCTATACCTGCCAGGTCGTCTGTGGTCCCTTGGGTCTTCAGGGTCTGAAATTCTGCATATACATATGTATATATATATATAATTGGGTATATTCCATACAACTGGGGATATTCCATATGTAATCATATATATATACTGGTTGGTGGTGGAGCCACCCCTCTGAAAAATATATGAAAGTCAAATAGGAGTATTATTCCCAATATATGGAAAAATAAAAAATGTTCCACACTACCAACCAGACGACTTCCAAAAAAGTCAACCAGAAACAGTTGAAACAACACGTAAAAGCATCTCAACAAGATGTGTCACCATGTACTGTCGAAACATGCATTGCATGTTCATATGTTCAGCTGACCAAATCAGATGGCACTTACAGATCAAGTATTGCTGGCCTTAGGCATCAACATAAAATGACAATAATGTTAGTATAGCAATAGTAGACCATCCCAAATTTACCATAAATGGGTGGTATAAACTTTATAACCATGAACATATGGTAACATATGGATGGTTTATGACATTGCTTTACGCAATGTCAAAAACACTACATGATGCAATCATCCCCCAGAAACCTGGCTCTGGACATCCGGTTCCTGGCCTTTCTCCATGCGAAGGACCGTCAAGACCAAGGACATCGAGGGCAACGAGTCCAGTAAGATTCGCGAGTTGTGGTTCCACCTCAATCCGCGTGGAACTGCCGGGCAAACTGCGAACTGGTGAGCTTTGCAAAGCAGGGTGAATTCCCTTGGTGGATTATACTTGATTATACAAATTACATGTAGTGAGAAGGAAACAATAGAGAACATTCTCAGTTTGAGCAACAGGAAGGTTTTCCAATGTCAACGTTCCCTCCTTGCTACTCTGGCCATGCGGTAACCCTGGTTGCTTCCCCTACTGATCCACGAAGCCAACCAGGGTGAAAATTCCAAGTATTTAAGTCCAATCAATTGTTCCTTCCAAGTGTGTTTCATATCCATATTATATACTGTGTACATAATGTATATATTATATACTATAATACATACATATATTCGATACATTTTATATATATAATACATACATATACTATAGTGGTTGGTGGTTTAAACCCCTCTGAAAAATATGAACGTCAGTTGGGATTATTCATCTCAATATATGGAAAAATATTCCAAATGTGCCAAACCACCAACCAGTATATATTGTCATTCCAATTATTAACCATTATTAACCATAGATTAACCATAGATTAACCATAGATTAACCTTCATCCCATAGATTAACCTTATATATATATATACTATTCTTTATCCATTGTGATCCCCAACCATAACCTAATAACCGGAACCAAGGCACACGGCGTCCACGAAAACAGGAGCTCCAGTGAGGCCATAGACTGATCGGAGCCCGGTGATTTAACCATCAAAAATGGTAGGATCTTGGGGATAACATGGGGATATAGTGGGGATATATAGCATGTATGTATGTATGCATGCATGCATGTATGTATATATGTATGTATGCATGCATGTATGTATGTATGTATGCATGTATGTATGTATGCATGTATGTATGTATGCATGTATGTATGTATGTATGCATGTATGTATGTATGCATGTATGTATGTATGCATGTATGTATGCATGTATGTATGTATGCATGTATGTATGTATGTATGCATGTATGTATGTATCCATGTTTGTATGTATGTATGTATGCATGTATGTATGCATGTATGTATGTATGCATGTATGTATGTATGTATGTATGCATGTATGTATCCATGCTTGTATGTATGTATGTATGTATGCATGTATGTATGTATGTATGCATGTATGTATGGATGCATGCATGCATGTATGTATGGATGCATGCATGCATGTATGTATGTATGCATGTATGTATGCATGTATGCATGTATGTATGTATGCATGTATGTATGTATGTATGCATGTATGTATGTATGTATGTATGTATGCATGTATGTATGTATGTAAATATGTATATATATATATATGTATAATTATGTATATATGCATAATTATGTTTATATGTATATATTGCATAACAGAAACATGGCTAGCTCGGAAATTCCAGGTAAATTGAGGTTTGAATAGGAAAATCATCTACAAATACCAACCTATGGCAATGGAAAATCCTGGAACTAAATGAGCATTGTTTAATGGGAAAGGTATCAGGTGTTTTGATATCTATCCCTATGGATCCAGCCGTACCTTCTAAGGGAGTGTTTGGATTCATAGGGTGCATCAATGTGTACATGATTACACATTATCTTCGCATATGTACATGATGTATGTATATATATATATATATACCCAATCAACTTGGTTGCTATCCTCAAATGCAACTGGTCGATCATGTGTTGATGCATCACCATTAAACACCAAGCAAAATTGGATTCTTCATCCCAACGGGTTAAACATGGTAAATGCACATAGCAATGATGAACCATGCAATGGTTGAGAATTGCATGTACATATATAATTACAGTATATAATACCATATATATATATATATATGATATAGATATATATATATATATGTATATGAGTGTCCAAAATCCCATGGTAGGTTTACTGAATTCAAACATACCATCAAATATCTGTGTAATGAGTTAGAACCCCCAGTTTAGATTCCGTATAATTACTCTATACAAGGTGAGGCCCCCAAGATATAAGTTCGTTGATAAACTCACGAATACTAGACTTACCTATGGCATAAACCCAAGAATTCAACAACTTAGCTTCACCAAGTTATGTGCATCAACTTAGCTATGGTTTGGCGCCTCGCATTATTCAAAGTCAGTTTGCAATTTATAGCTAGGATAACTGGGATTTATGAATATGTATGGTAATAGTCCTAAACGATCAAACAAATATAGGGATATTTAGGGGATATTTATCTATATTACTATAGTATATTTCTGGTTCATAAACCATCTTATAACTTGGGGCGGGGGCACCTTGTAGAAATTGACCCCAAAACCCAACATAGCCACTTTATGCCACTTTACTAGAGTAAATGATGATAAACTGTCAAATTTGGTAGCACCCTATGGATTTATAAACCATCCAGCAGTGTACATCCTTCTGTTCCATGCCTGTCGTGCCCTTCTGTTCCATGTCCGTGGCAGCGGTGGCTGCCGGCACTTGCGAACGCCAGAGCGAATATATCCTCCGTTTGACGCGTGGTTTGAGCGGGTGATTTGATGGGTGTTTTTATGGGATTTGATGGTGATTTAATTGGGATTTATATGATGGGATTTGATAGTGACTTCATGGGATCTTTACCAGCAAACATGGTGATTGAATCGGATTTAATTCGGACATGTCATGTTTTTATCACCTGCATACAGTTTTCTTTAAAACATGATTTTTCATGGTAATTTGGCCACTGTAATGATGATTTGATGGTGATTTCACTAGGGATGTAATCAATCCAATGGAAAGTTTGAGGGGTTGTGTCAAAGTTATATCCCAAATTATGGGTATTATAACACTAGTTATAACACAAAAAAAGCACTAGTTATACTCAGAAAAAATCACCAGAATTTGGGGTTTGGATGCAACTTGAGGTGGACCATGGTGGACTCAAAGTCACAAGATATGGAAAGCTACCAACCACCATGGTGGCTTCAGTTGCGAGCTTGGCTGATTAGGTCCTACATGTTCTAATCCATAAGGTGGTTTCAATATCAGTACCAGCCAAAAAAACAGTACCACAATATCGACTGTTATGATGATGATAATCTAAATGTCATACATCATATATATATATATATATATTTGTGTTTTAAGATGTTTAATATTGGACACCATCATCTTGTTATCATAATCCACCATCGGAAGTTGCACTTCGGCCTCTCAGGATGTGAGTTGAGCACTTGACAAATGTCTGGTCCTTAGAGGCGAAGATTCAGCAGTTTCCCTTTTTTGGGATCGACAGGAAACCATGGTCTTAAGCGTGGCATGCGTCCGACTCTAGACTTTCCCAAGAAAAAACGATGTTTGGTCTCAAAATAAGGGGACAAAAAGATGCGGAGAAAGTGGCTGGCGATGCTGGGAAAGCTTTCGTTCAGAAAGTGGCTTTCGTATGGCTATGAGTCAAGTCATGACGGGTCCAACAGAAAACGGAAAACACAGTGGCTGGCACGATAATCAATTCCACTTAGCCCAACTGGTTGGTGGTATACCTACCCTTATGAACATCTTACCAGCAAACTCTGATGGTCGTTGAATATTTATTTTGGTGCATGGTTTCAACCCCTCTGAAAAATGATGGAGTTAGAGTCAGTTGGGATGATGACATTCCCAACTGAAGGGAAAAATAATCCACATGTTCCGAACCACCAATCAGAAATTCTGCAAAAATTAAACATAGCTATAGAAAATCACCATCTTTAATAGGTAAATCAACGAACTGTCGGCCATTTTCCATAGCAAACTGTTAGTTTACCAGGCCGGGTACCCCAAGAGTTGGTCACTAATCTCACCGTCTGATCGCTGCGATCGCTGCGAGCGTCGAACTCCCATGTGTTCCAACAACTGTCGGCCATGCTCCAAAGGTCCAGCACCAACTGCATGTCCTGCAGAGATCAGTTACCCTCTGGTTATGTCAAAATAGCTATTGAAGATGACCATAGAAATAGTGGATTTAAAAAATTATCCATTGAAAATGGTGATTTTCCATAGTTTTTTTGTATGTTTACCAGAGGGTAAGTGTTGTGTTTCCAAAGATTATACGTCCCTTCTTCATGAACACCCAACATCATCCAACCAGAAATATCATGACATCTGAACCATTGCGGGTTGTTTTGTTTCAGAAAAAATGAAGCGTTTGCCATATATGCTATATAACATATGTCTTTGTTTTCATTGGACATGTGAATTTCTATCATCATCTGTGAATTTGGCCGTAAATCGATTTCGTGAAACTTAGGACTGGAGCAACAAACACGGGGATGGCATACACATGGCTCAAGCTTGGATGGTTCCAACGACATTCAGCACAACAGACCCACTTAGATGTGCATCCCAGTTTGGTCAGCGGTAAATTCTCCATGTAATAATATAGAACTGGACATATATTCCATATATATATAATTAATTATAACTATGTAATAGTATATGATATAAATATTATAATATATAACTGAAGATATTACATGTATATAATGTCCAATATGTATATATATATGTATAGTATATATTATACCGGAATATCTATATTCCGTACATGTACATAAACAATCATAAACCGTATACATTATATATATATATATTATATATATGGATATATTATAAAACATGTTACACGATATATCTCCATAGTATCTCTCACCGAACCGCTCCTGTGGCGTAGCTCGGACCCACCTCCGCACCGTCGAACTGAAGACCAAGTTTCACCTGGATCAACCACCAATGGCCATCCCTAAAAAGTGGGAAATCAAACAACAAGAAATGTGTTTTGTTGTATGTTCATTATATGTTTATACTATATATATATTATGTGTACTGTATATGATTGTATTATGAGTTTATATGATTTTGTATGGTTTACAAACCATCAAACCATTGAATAATGATGATTAAACCACCAATTCATGGTCTGGTTAATGGGGATACTGATGAGTTACCAGTGGATTTTGGGTGGAAATATCAACTAAGCAGTAAGGGTGATGATGATTTGGGAACGTCTATCTTAATAAGAAAATCCATAAACAACAAATGTGGTTTCTACGGTTTAGAAACCATCAAACCATCTTTATATGGGGGTTGATTAACCATCTTTAATCCTCTTTGTATGTCTTGATAAACCATCGAACCCCCTTCTTGTTCCCTCGAATCTCACATTGCTGCTTGGATGTTCGTCCCCTGCATCGTAAGTGGGTAAGAACCATCTCATGTACATGGGATCTACCCCTGTTAAACTGCGTGTTCGTGGCCAAACTTTGACAATTACCTGCAACAAGTTTCTTTTTTTGCTGGCTAGGTCACAGCAACATATTGCCATGATTCCCCGAATGTTTGATGTCTAAATCCCCATATGTTGCTGGTCAAACCCCTATCTGGGATTGTCAAATCCGTGCTCCCATTCAGTTGGTTTCCCCGGAATTGCTGCTTAATTACTCTTATATCCAAAAATATATTCGTTGAAAAAAAAAACGGAAATAAGTTGTAGTAGTATTGTCATGTAGATAAGTGCCCTTATTTGACCTAATCATGCGATTACCAAAAAAACCACTTGTGATGTAAACGTAGTCTCACCAACACGTTCACTTTAAGCCGCGATATATAATAAAATCAACCAGCAGTGATGTAGTGATCCATCAACTAAATACAAGTTCAATGTACATACGGTAACCACATTTAAATATACAGATTTTAAAATATACGAACTGGTATTTTAGACTACCTCCGGGAAAGTTTTCCGTGGCCCGCCCAGCCATTTAAACATACGGATGGAACTGGTGTTTCATACTACCTCCGGGGCCTCGCAGTCTGGCCCGCCCTCCACATATTTAAATGTCGTTACCGTATATATATATGTATATAATATATGTATATTATAATATTACTATTCAGTAGTGATAACCGTTGGTTCAATCCCCTTGTTTGATCAAAGTTATCACTACTGAAATATAAGATTAAGTATTCGTTAGTTATTGATATTACAGTTAAATATAGAGGGTTGCTTAAAACGGGGGGAACCCCAAGTCTCCATGGTTGTTTCAAGAACTTGGATGATGCGGGGGGTACCCCCATGACTTAGGAAACCTCATGAAACCTCCATATTTCTGGGCAACTTGTTTTATCAGTCACTAACCTGAAGATGAGGCCTCTGTTGGGATAATTCCCAGAATCCGAACCATGATTCCATTAAATCGCCATGAAAAATCACCAGTTATGACTAGTCCGACAAGACAACCGAGATGCGAAGTGATTCAGGCCAAGCCCATGTGACGGCAACGCCGAAGCCTGAGAACAGGCTTAGCCATGAATCGATGGGAATCAATGGGAATTAATTGGAATATCATGGGGATGATAGATAATGATTACCCATAGGATCCATGTATGGTATATATATATATATGCTAACATGAATGGGGTATATTGATGGGATCCATGTTGCCATATATAGCAGCACCATGGATCCTATGGGTTATACTGTATATAATAGTCCCATTATAATGATCATTATAATATATCATAATGATATACCAACCATAATCATGGGGAAAATCATCGAACTATACGATTGGTGATTTCTTTTACATAGCTATGTTTGATTACCGGAGTGTAGATGACAAGAAGTTTATTGAATGGCTAGAAAATGGCTAATTTAGTCTAATTTATATACCTATTTCAATGGTTAGATTACGAAAGGGTAAGTCTTTCATGACAAATGGCCTACATAGTGAGATCATGTCCACCACCAAAAACAATTTACCTCAGCATGTTGTCGCACTTTGGTGCAAAATCATTGCATTTGAAGCGTCTTTTCTTGGTTTCATTCCATTTCCTTGGGCTTGCCAAATCTTCACCTGCACCAACATAAGCCCGTACTCACGGTGGTGATATCCCAATTTCTGATGATTAAAGCATATTTTCATCATGGTGGTACCTCCAAGTACCCATCATAGCCACTTCACATGGGTAACGAGGTACCCAAAAAAGACCAGCAATTGAAATTGGATAGTCTCAAACACATTTCAACACATGAAAAATCTCCAGTCACTTTGTGGCTGTCAAGCAACGCTCAGCGTATCAACCACCAGCAGCCACTCGTGTTGATTCTTCCGTCCGATGCTCCACAAGCCCGGCGCCGGGCCCAGGTTCAGCGCGGGCGTGGAGCTGCCTGGGGGGGCCACCCGGTCGTTCATTTTGGTTTATACATCCCGTTCCTATGGGTTTAAAATGGGGTTTGTCTGTGGTTAATGGGTTTTTTAGAGTTTATCAATCAACTTATACTTTATTTAAGATGTGGTGCCCAAACAATTCTGAGTTGGTTTATAAGCCCCATTAAATTGTATCATACTTATATCAGATATAAACGAACGCAAACCAACCCAAACCAAGTAGAAGGCCCCACCTTGTATCATGGTACCAATCATGGTATATCTACCAATCATGGGAACTTGGCAGTTTTTGCACATCCTTTCCAGCAGCGTCATACCACGAGAGATACCCCACAAACGGTAGGGGTTTGTTTGGCATCTTTGGGCCCAAAAATGTTCATGACCTACCATGACACTATGAATTACTATGATAAAACACGATTTTTTACATGATACAACTATAGTTCCACTTTCCACCAGCAGCCAGTTACCCTCTGGTAAACGTTTAAGTAACTATATTAACTATGGAAAGATCCACCATGCTATCAATGGGCTATTTTCAATAGTTATGTAACAAATTACCAGAAAGTATACCATCATATATCCCATTAAATCACCATTAAATCACCATTAAATCACCATTAAATCACCTATAAATGGTCATGCTCAATAGTTATTTGACATAACCAGAGGGTAAACCTCCATTTTCCTATGGTTTTCCTATGGTTTTCCTATGGTCATTACCAGAGGGTACTACGTACCCGTCGCTGGGTCGCTGGGTTCCCCGTCCCAAAGGCCGCCACTCGGCTCGGATCTTCACCGACCCCGAGGGCACCAAATTCCCCAGGCCGCTGTGTAGCGGGAGCCAGATCTCCGGCAACGCCTGGATGCTGGAAATGGAGTCTATCCCATGAGCCTCACTTTCCCAGGATCTTTATATATATATGATATATACTGCTGTTTTGATCTACTGTTGATACATAGATACCAATACTGCGGCTTGTATGGTGAAATCTATGGTGAAATCCTGCCGTTCGAAAGCGTCTGGCAATACCACATGGCTTGACACCAAAATCTTAGGGATGTACCAGCTATGTTTCCTTAAGAAAAGACGGTGGCCATCCAGATCTTGGTTGCGATCCTCAGTTTTGCTGGATCCTCATGGTAGTCCAACGCTTTTGTTCGGGGGAAAAAAAAAAACATGCTTTTGCTACTCTCATCCCCCCATGTTTGTTGCTTCAACAATGGCCAATCTTAGATACCATGCCTTATTTTTCTCGTTGGCTAGTACACCTCCATAGGAAAAGAATGAAGTACTCAGTTGTAAGTTGTAAGTGATCAATGGATATCAATCCCATATGCTCCACGTATGGTATATTTACCTACAAAACTGGGTGATTTTAAGGGCAAATGTTGGTGTGCATATTCCAGCACCATGGGTTGCATATGGGAATGGGTCAACCCAGAACCCCCCCATCCCAGTAACCGAGTGCCTCAATCAGGTTTTGTCCCTCCAGCAGGGCTGTCAGCTTCTTCTCCGAGCAGCACATGATTTCGGCCCTCGGGCAGATATCAGGGAGATGATAAGGTGACTAGATGTGACAAGATACCACAAGTAGATTATAGGGAAATCTTCGGATACCAGCCAGGGGGATGTGATCTTTTTCAAGCCTTAAAAGGTCAAGTTTTGCTGGCTTTTCCACCCAGCAGAACTATGGGTCATCTGATGTCTGCTCCAAGTAGCTGCTTCCAACTAAAGGCGCCCGTGTCGTTGTCGTGCACACCCAAATGCAAATTCTGCCAGCACGACAAATGGAGTTTCACATGGACGAGGCTGTGGAAACCGAAGGGTATGTCAGCCAACAATTGGACTTAGACGAAGCAAAAATTGGATTCAGATGCATCTGATTTTTTCAGCTATATTTAAGATAATTTAAGTGCCAAAAAAAATGTGCAGTTCGAGTCGGGATGTCTACCCAAAATGATTTCCATGGGCCTCATCAAAGCCACTCAACTCACATGGCTAATACGTGCGATCTTTGAAGACGAAGGCCATCTGTGTGCGTGTCTTGTACTCTTATACTTAGCTATTTCATGACCAACATAGTCCTAAATGGATGACATATTTATGACATGATCAACATTGCAGAAGTATGACCCAAGCCTATAGGTGCAGACCAGTTCCCAACCTGCAAGTTTGGATCATCGATCACAAAGTCAAAGGTGGCATCCTCCCATTTGGGCCAACGACCTCTGGCCGGGCGAATGACTGGACAATCAGGGGGCACATTCCCAAATTGAAAAGAGTTTGGAAAATGATCGAGTTGGCCTACAATCACTCCTCACTCTGGATTTTGCTTCAAACGTGAAAATCCAATCAGGTGTTTTAAATCTCCGTGCTCAGCTACTAGAGGGGCATTTGCATTGCAATTTTAGATGATCAATGGGTATACCTTCACACATGGTGAACAAGAAACCAACATTGCCACCCTCTCGATGGGAAACTGTTTGTTTTGTTTATCATCATATTCCCCAAACAAATGGCCAAATTTTGGGAGATTGACTCCACCATTTTCAGTCGAACAGGTCGAAAGTGAAAGGCACTCCGTTCAATGACGCTGGTTTTCTCCACCTGGGCACCAATAGTTGCCTGGACCTCAGTGTTGGAACGTTTGGATGAAACGTAAAGGTATTTATTGGAAACCGCAAACTGTCTGCTAACAGAGACCCTGAAAATCAGTCAGATCCCGCCGATTATCGGGTGTCTGGCGGGGGCTGTGTTGATACTATTGTGGGATTGGATCAACTTAGGCCCTTTAAGACAAACCCCAAAATATACAGGATTCCACCCAACAATCACCCAACATTTAGAGCAAAAGACCCGTTTTTCATACGTCCAGGTTGACTATTTTGATATGTTTGATTTTGACCCACGAACAAATCAAGACTGCACTGGTTGTCAAACTCTGCTGGACTTGGCAAAAAATCACGGCTGGTGTCTCTTGTTTTGATTTAATCTGCATAAGATCATTGCCTTCCCTAGCGGTTGCATCATCAGGTTACTGTGGAAATCTAGAGATGGCACCCCCTAAACCCAACATTACCCTCTGGTAATTCAACATAGCTATTGAAAATACCACATTTATAGTGGATTTACCCATTCAAAATGGTGATTTTCCAGTTCGCTATGTTAGTTTACCAGAGGGTATCCAATCTGTTTCCATGGCGAAAAACCAGTCCAACCGTTGGTGAAATCGCCAGTTACCAACCGAAAAAACCGCCCAGGTACGAAGGGATCCGCTTCCGTGGCCTCGCTACTCAGCCCGAAGCGGAGCATCAGATTGGACCAGTGCGACCGACCTGGATCCTGGGTCACTGGGGAGAAAAAGGGGTAGCTCCCATATCTCAATATCTGCAAAAATTGTGCCCAGTTTATTTATCTAATTGTGCCCAGTTTATTTATCTATAATAATCTAATAATATCTATATATCTATAAAGTTTACGAGAGCTAAGTTGGTTAAGACTTTCCAGGTGAATTCTATGATGTTTGCCCAACTTGCTCCAGGGAATTTGCTCAAAATTGAGATACCCCAAAACCCAAAAGCAATAGTTTTCCACGTGAAAGCTTACAAATGCGGAATAAGTGTGGGTCCCCCATTTCAAGAAAACCACGTTTGGAGATCTCATCCTCACCAAAAGGACAAACATTTTTTTTCAGAGAAAGTGAAACGTGAAATCCCAGAAGTTCTCTGGGATAGTTTAGTACAAGTGAGCAGTGAGTGTGAAAAAATGTTGTCCCTTGACCTTATGTTGTCCCTTTACACTGCTTGGTTAATAGGGATGCCCCTCACTAATGGATTGTGATCATCCTCAACCAGAAAGGGCTAGTGACTAATCCCCCAACTCACCTACCAATTATTATTTATCATTCATATTCCCATATATTGGTAAAAATCCATATAGATGATGGGTCAATCCCCATATCTGATGTTAGTAAAGCAATAAATAGACCATGGTTTATAATTACTACCCATTGATGGTAATTTTTGGAATGGTTTACTATTGCTTTACAAACATTACTAGTTTTGAACACTGCTCTGACAACATCAGCTGCCTATTGGTCACTCCGCCAAGGCGCTGGAAGGTCTTTGGCTTCCTCGCCGCTGAAACAGACCATCGCAGAGATGAAACAGGGCTGAAACCCGGGCTAAAGATGAGATATCCATCATCTATTTTGATATGTATCATAGATTGATAATTTGATATGTATCCTATATTGCCTATATTGATATATAATTATTCAGATGTATCATATATTTATATGTATTGATATGTACAGTACGATTATGAAACAGGCTTAAGTTGATATTCTAATATGTGTCATATACCAATTGCCCGTGACTGCCAAATGATATAATCGTAAACACATGGTATGATAAAGAAGATGGGAAAGTACGTGGTGCTGTGTTGTAGCATGTGATACCTGCCAAAACTGGTCAATACATCACACATCAGTAGTTTTTCACATCCATATCCCAAGGGATCTGCATGACATCACCGCGCCGAGTATCCAGGATCACCAGTCTCCTCAGCTGAGAAACTCTAGAAATCACCACCAGACCTCCATGATGTCAGGAACAGGTAGCTTTTCATCGGTAAGACTGATTCAAATAATGCGGAAAATATCTTTCCAGAATTTTCTAGATCTAATTACGTTATATTACATGTATATATATATATATAGATCATGTATGTGTCCTCTTAAAAAGAAGCAAGCAAGGGATAAATATATATATATTATAAATACCAACAAAAATAAAATTTCTAAACATGGAACGTGTTTGTTTCTTCTGGGTGTCCTTGAACAATGGGTAAAATTGATCCAGGATTTAAATCACCCACAAATATTTTAAAAAAAACGTGCGAACGGGGGTGCAGCTCTTGTTATACGCTGGTGGCTTTAAGCATCTTGAAAAATATTAGTCGGTTGGGATTATTATTCCCAATATATGGAAAAATAGGTGGTTTTAACCATCTTGAAAAATATTAGTCAGTTGGGAAGGATTATCCCATATATTATGGAAAATAAGAAATGTTGCAAACCACCAACCAGTATATGTATATCACCATTCTGTATTTGCATAGCGTCTGGTTGGCTCGCCATTGCGTCCCATGGTTGGCTCGCCGTTCTTTCCATCCCAAATACATTCCCATCAATTATATCTCCATTGATGATGTTCCACAAAAAATTGGTATCAAAGATCTTCAGCCCAAAATTCGTTCCTCAATTGTATTTCCAAGATCTTCAGCCCCACACAAAAAAAATCTCCCCCACCGAAGATGTTCTGATTTTCCCACCGAAAAAAACCATCAAAACCATCCACCTGGCACAGCCCGCTGCCAAGGCTCAGGATGCCCTGTGGCGTGGGCGATTTCAAGTCCACCAGGCCGATGGCGTCGCCCATTGGAATCTGGCGGATGATTAGGAGATGTCCAATTAGGTACAAGGTGGTGCCCCATAGTTAGCTAAATTGGTTTATAACTCCAATAACTATGGTTTATGGTAGTTATAACTATAGTTAATGGGGTTTATAAACCAACTTATAACTGGGGGGCCCCACATTGTATATGGTTGGATATGGATGGATGTGGTAGATGTTCATAGATTCTGAATTTATTATAGATATTCCAGAGATATTATGATATGATTGGATCATGTTGGATCCCAAGTTTTTCCATAGTAAATTGCTTGAAATACATATCATACAGAATCATACCAGCCAGGGATGGTTCCCCCAGCTTCAGTTGGACCATCACCATGGTTCCCCCAGCATCCTGGAAACCTGGAAATCTCCAGAGATTGGTTTGTCATGCCTTGGAATTTGGTCCAGTCCTGTTATACTTATAGTGTATGGCTAGCCCCGGATATAACAGAAAAAAAACCGGACTAACCTTCCAGTAACCGGATAAATCACCGGTTTCGCATGTTTTTCTCTGCTGGAAAGAGCTCCACACCGCGGAAATCAACACCATGAATCGGATGATATCACTTCACATCTGTGACCCGGACATCCCTTACCATCTCTTACCAATCTATGGCTCACATCACCAGTGATCTCCAGTGCGATATCTCCCAGCTGGGAGATACGGCAGAGGTGGAGGTTTTTTTTGAGGGGACCTGATGATTTTGATGTCAAGGAATGGAAGGACCAAAATTTTTACATACCCAAACTCACCATGGCCAAACGTCCCACTGCACCTGCAATTCCAAACTTCTTCCGCAGTTTCAAACATCTAAGTCACTTGATCAATGCCCACGTTTTTCTCTTTTTCGGCCGGGAGTCACCAGCCGAGGTACACAGAAACGGTTTGGTAACACCGCCTGATGAGAAATGACTCCAGTCAAAGCATCCACAATTTTCTGCCTCGGTGCCACTAAAAAGGCCAGAACGGCCGATGAAACCATAGGCTGTCATTTTCAGAAGAATCATAGCGGCTATAACCATCTATAAACAAACATGTTTTGATACATAGACGGTAAATGACTGTTTTTCTAGAACAAAGATGAAGAAAACATATGATCAACGTATACACAGACACCCATCCAACCTGGGTTCATTGCACATATTGCACTAGGCCACTAGGAATTCCGAAAATTGATTAGCCTCTGGTAGACATACAAAAAGCTATGGAAATCACCATTCAAAAAAAGGTAAATCATCCACAAATCATCTAGAAATGTGCCAGTTTCAATCCCTGTGTTGGCTTACTGGGTAAATTTCCTTACCAATCCACAGCTTCGAATAACGTCGTCGCCGAGGATCTTCAGAAAGGCGAAATTCGCCTCCATCCCAAAGAGTTGGGTTTGCAGCGTCAAGTCCTCACCGTGTGTACCAATGAACATATTACAGTAATAGTTAGTATTGGTACGTATATTGAGAAAGAATAGCTAAGTGTAACACATCATAATAATTGTTAGTTTCTCTAAGCGGATGAGTCATAGCTTAAAAAAAAAAAAACATCAAACATATCCATAAATATCCATCAAATTCATCAAACATATCCAGATCAACTCCATCAAAATATCCATAGATATCCATAGATATCCAGTTCTTCACCCTATAAATATCCAGGATAAAAAAACAAACACATCATATCCATCACGTTCAAGATATCCAGTTCAAAAAAAAAATGCTCGCTGTCAACGTGGCTGAGGACACTGAGGACAGTGGATCTCGAGTCACCCGGTGTTGAAGCCAAAGTGACGATGATTGGACGGTTGGAGAAGTAGATACGAACGCCACCTCTAGTGACACCGAAGCAACGACCGAATATTTGTGGCATGCTGTGGCTGTAGGTTTACCAATTATAAATGGTGAAATAACTGGTTATTTCTATGGGATTATATATTCCATAAAGGGGGTTATAAGTACTTATAACATCTTATAACTGGTGATATTTGATGATATCTGGGATTCACAGAATGACACAATGGATCAGAATGGAGTAATGATGATCACAAATATACAAAGGGCAGCATAACCCCGGATCATCAAGCAACTTTTTTTTCAAACTGCTCAATGATGCATACGGTAGTTATACGTGTTATATATTATTTCTGGGCAAATTAATTATAACATTTCACTAACCTGAATTAAGGCCACTTGGGGATGATTTCCCTTACTAACTATGATCATAGTGAGATCGCAGTGAGGTTATTGTTTAGCCCTGACAAGGGTTATCAAAAGGAGCCGGGCCGATCATTGGCCAACTATGATCATGTCCTTCCTCTCATTTCGTCTCAGTTCTCCTCAACTTGGTCGCATCCAACCCCTTTTCGAAGACAAACTTGGTCCAGCGTCCCAGAACATATTCAGCAGTTTGGAGGATCAAAACATGGAGGAAACTGAAAACAACAGCTTCCAGTTTGCTTCCCATTTTTTTCAGATATTTTGGGAACCTACCCTCCGCGGATCAATAAACTCGCCGCGAGGCTAAACCACGGCGGTTGCTTTCGCAAGCGCACCAGTTCGATGACGATTTCGCCCTTCACTTCCAAGCCAGTCAGTTCCTAGGTACTTCATCTTAAATAGGATCTTAAATAGGCATCTGAGGTCAATATATAAACTCCATTGACCATCATTGACCCTCGATTGAAAATTGCCGACCATCCCAGATTTTCCTCTCTTGCTTGGGTCTTCCCAATAAGTTTGGTGATATTCAACATGGTATGCCGCCATGCCATTCGATTCCAAATAGCCTCTGGTAAACTAACGTAGCTATAGAAAATTCCCATTATTAATGGATAAATCAACTATAAATGGCAATTTTCAATAGTTTTGTGAAAGTACCGGAGGGTAATCATACACATAGTCTTTGTACCCATTGGTATCCAAGTGTATCTACGTGTATCTACGCTGTAAATCTCTATAAACCATCCTTAATTTTGCCTCCCGTCAACGTTCACCATCAGTATCATCGCTAGTGAACCACAGGGGCCCTGAGGGGAGAGTTCCTGGCCCAAATCTATGATGGATCAATCTGGATGACATGACTCCTGGTCTCTAAAACTGCACTGACTATAAAAATATAAATGTCTCATCTTATTTTTTTTAGTTTGTCTTTGCCTCAACTCCATTTCGTGCAATCCAAATTTCCCAGCCAAAATCCCAATGCAAATTTCATCAAATGTCCACATCCCAATAGATGCAATTTCACAACCAAAATCCCAATCCCGGAGCGCCGAGGATCCAAACTGCCCACCGTGCAGGTCACGTCCACATGACAATCCCCACGGTAGTTCAGCATGGCGTCCAAACGGATGCTGCTGCCATGGTCCTCCGAAATGATGTTTCAGCATGTCGCTCAGTAAGTGGCTATAGAACCATAAAATGCATGAATATACATTAATATACATTAATAGACATTAATGTACATTAATGTACATTAATATACATCAGTATACATTAATATACATTAATATACATTAATATACATTAATATACATTAATATACATGAATATACATGAATATACATTAATAGACATTAATGTACATTAATATACATTAATATACATTAATATACATTAATATACATTAATATACATTAATATACATTAATATACATTAATATACATTAATATACATTAATATACATTAATACACATTAATATACATTAATATACATTAATATACATTAATATACATTAACATGCATTAATATACATTAATATACATTAATTAATATACATTAATATACATGAATATACATTAATATACATTAATATACATTAATATACATTAATACACATTAATGTACATTAATATACGTACATTAATATACCATAATTATAGATAATTATAGGTTTTTTTTTGATTTAGGGGGTTTATGAAATTTATAACCATGGTTTTAGCCACGAATTAAGTCAACTTTGCAACCCAGAAAACAGAAGGGTTCCAAGAAATGCCCCATGCCTGCCGTGATGTACCAGTTCCAGAGATTGAAACTCAACAGGGAACAATCAGCAAGACGTAGTGATAAAAAAATAATGTGACTTTTGGGATTTGATGTACTGATGTTAGAATATTTAACCACCTAAATTTGTAACCCATCCAACTGTGGGATTTACCGGCAATTTATATGGTTGATGATATGGATACAATGGGATACACAACCACCATCAACCGCCAATATGATATGTGGGTGCAAATCTCATTTTTTATTGGGGAAGATGATGATGAACGGATGTAATGGGATACCTTCAACCAAAACCATCACTGAGTCACAGAGTTATACCAACTGCTATGGAACTTCGTTTTGAAATACCTCCGTGCCTCAGTGAATTTGCTGGCCACGATATTCTGCAGAATCGCAGGCTTTGTGCCCAAGCTACATCTCTCCTCAGCACCATGATGCGGGGTGAATGGTTTTATCGATTTTTATAAAATATAGCGACATGACAACATACTGAGGATGTAATTTGTTTGACCGAAATTGCAAACGAAACTTGTGCCTTTAGACCCAAATTGATCTGGAAATTCCAATGGATTTCCCTTCAACCGTTTCAGATCGACGATCATATGTAATATTTTCCAAACAGTTCCTGAAGACATGCAAATATCTACTCCAGATATAAGAAAAGCAAATACATACATGTGAAGAATGTAACCCGGGAAAACGATCTCCAATGGAATGAACTGGTTAACTGATGCAAAGCAGAAAACAAGATGCAGCCCACAAACGTAGAACACTTTTGTGAAACAAATTATTTGAACAGTCTTGTACATTTAGACTGTGGAATGCGGAAGAGGGTGGAGTGCAAAGTGTGGAGTGTGGAGTGTGAAGTGTAGTCTGTGGAGTGTGGACTGTAGAGTGTGGAGTGCAGAATGTGGAGTGTAAAGTGTGGACTGTAAAGTGTGGAGTATAAAGTGTAGAGTGTAAAGGGTAAAGTTAGAGTGCGCAGTGTAAAGTGTAGAGTGTAGGCTGTAATGTGTAAACTGCCGAGTTCAAAGTGCAAAGTGTGGAGTGTGGAGTGCGGAGTGTAAAGTGTAAAGTATGGAGTGTGGACTGTAAAGTGTAAAGTGTGGAGTGTAAAGTGTAGAGATTTAAGGTGTAAAGTGTAGAGTGTGGAGTGTAGAGTGTGGAGTGTAAAGTGTAGAGTGTAAAGGCTGGAGTGCAAAGTGTGGAGTGTAAAAAGTTGAGTGTAAAGTGTAGAGTGCGAAGTGTGGAGTGTGGAGTGTGGAGTGTGAAGTGTATAGGGTGTATTGTGTATTGTGTGGAGTGTATTGTGTAAAGTGAGACGTGTGGAATGGAAAGTGTAGAGTGTAAAGTGTGAAGTGAGGGCGTGGCTTGCGGAGTGTAAAGTGTGGAGTGTAAAGTGTATAGTGGAAAGTGTAAAGTGCGGAGTGTAAAGTGTAAAGTGTGGAGTGCAAAGTGTAAAGTGTAGAGTGTGGAGTGTGGAGTGTAGAGTGTGGAGTGTGAAGTGTAAAGGATAAAGTGTGGAGTTTAAAGTGTGGAGTGTAAAGTGTAAAGTGTGGAGTGCAAAGTGTAAAGTGGGAAGTGGTGTGCGGAGTGTGGAGTGCAGTGTGTGGAGTGTAGGGTGTAGAGTGACGGTCACTGAGTAGAGTGTAGAGTGTAGAGTGTAGAGTATGCAAAAGTATTGCGCCTGCGCGACAAAATGATCTTCAACAGGTTTGCAGACACATGAGAATGTCATGAAGTGCCACGCCTGCCACGCAAAACCACGTTACAACTTGCTTTGACACCTTGAAACAGGATAGGTTTTGCAGCTTCCCCCAAAGACACGGCAAGGCCACAGGACGAGACATGTTGGAGCATTTCGTGCGAGTCTTCCTCCAATTTTCACACTTTGCAGCTTCAAAACCAACGTTTTCCTATGAGTTTTGTTATGAACCTCAAAAATTGCTACCTCAAAATCGATGCTTCGTGCGAGGCTTCCGTCAATGTGCAGCACATCTCACAAAATGCCATGTCTGCCACGGAATTTGCACGTTGTCACCACTTGACGCAGCCCTGGCAATGCAATTCGCAAAAAACACGCAACACGACTCCTCTAAAGTGCTGCGCCTGCCACGCAAAATGACGATGAGGTCTCCAAAGTGCTGCGCCTGCCACGAAAAATGGAACTCATCTTCTGAAAGCGACGCAAAAGTATTGCGCCTGCCACAAAGAACGACTTTCAACACGTTATGAAACATGCTGGAATGTCACAAAGTGCCATGCCCCGCCACGCGAAACGAGGCTACGCGGCATTTGAAACCTCCAAAAGCGACCACTTTGCAGGACTCGCCATAGGCACGGCCATGGCGACCTCGCGCAAACGGTTGCGGACGGCTGCGGACGATTGCGAACGGTTGCGGACGTAAACGCAACGTCGAGCGAACACACCCTCAACCCCCAGACCCCCAGAATGAAACGGGAACCTTTGCTCGCAGTTGGGAAAAATATGAGTTTGGCCCACATGTGTCTTGAGAAAAAGGTGCCCTAAACAGGAAAATGGAATGTACTGGCTGGATTGATTTTTAGGGGCCAAAACTGGGGGTTTTGGTTCATATGTTCAGGGGATCGGATAACCTGCAGTTTGACATTCTGACCATTTCTGACCCATACACATTTGCTACACGTGTCTTCGAGACCTGCGCAGTCTGAACCAACAAACATTGTCCAACAGGCCCCAGTTGTGACAAGCCTCTCCAAATTCGATAGTGATCCCTGTCCCACAGTGGCCAGAGGATCGGCGATGTCAGGATGTTCATCGATGGATTATTAAAATGCTGTTGGACTATGTTGAAATCAGCAAGCAATCAAAGTCTGACACAATCATAGCAATCATGGCATCAGTTTTTGGGGTGCTGACGTATTCGCCATATCTACATACACTGTGTAGACAGCATGGGCCATTGCCAAGGGATGATAGACTTGCACGCCGTGATAGAATCTTGTTGGGGTAGGACGGAGATTGGAATTCAAAAAGTATCTGGATACTGGATAAGTCATCATGAATCCCAATCCTGATTTGTTGGGGTGGGACGGAGATTGGAATTCAAAAAGTATCTGGATACTGGATAAGCCATCATGAATCCCAATCCTGATTTGTTGGGGCAGGACGGAGATTGGAATTCAAAAAGCATCTGGATACTGGATAAGTCATCATGAATCCCAATCCTGATTTGTTGGGGTAGGACGGAGATTGGAATTCAAAAAGTATCTGGATACTGGATAAGTCATCATGAATCCCAATCCTGATTTGTTGGGGTAGGACGGAGATTGGAATTCAAAAAGTATCTGGATACTGGATAGGTCATCATGAATCCCAATCCTGATTTGCTGGGGTAGGACGGAGATTGGAATTCAAAAAGTATCTGGATACTGGATAAGTCATCATGAATCCCAATCCTGATTTGCTGGGGTAGGACGGAGATTGGAATCCAAAAAGTATCTGGATACTGGATAAGTCATCATGAATCCCAATCCTGATTTGTTGGGGTAGGACGGAGATTGGAATTCAAAAAGTATCTGGATACTGGATAAGTCATCATGAATCCCAATCCTGATTTGTTGGGGTGGGACGGAGATTGGAATTCAAAAAGTATCTGGATATCTGCATAAGTCATCATGAATCCCAATCCTGATTTGTTGGGGTAGGACGGAGATTGGAATTCAAAAAGTATCTGGATACTGGATAAGTCATCATGAATCCCAATCCTGATTTGTTGGGGTAGGACGGAGATTGGAATTCAAAAAGTATCTGGATACTGGATAGGTCATCATGAATCCCAATCCTGATTTGCTGGGGTAGGACGGAGATTGGAATTCAAAAAGTATCTGGATACTGGATAAGTCAGCATGAATCCCAATCCTGATTTGCTGGGGTAGGACGGAGATTGGAATCCAAAAAGTATCTGGATACTGGATAAGTCATCATGAATCCCAATCCTGATTTGTTGGGGTAGGACGGAGATTGGAATTCAAAAAGTATCTGGATACTGGATAAGTCATCATGAATCCCAATCCTGATTTGCTGGGGTAGGACGGAGATTGAAATCCAAAAAGTATCTGGATACTGGATAAGTCATCATGAATCCCAATCCTGATTTGTTGGGGTAGGACGGGGATTGGAATTCAAAAAGTATCTGGATACTGCATAAGTCATCATGAATCCCAATCCCGATTTGTTCTGACATGTTCTGAAACCCAGGAATGCCCACCTTGATGTGTCTATGGCGGGATCCGCTGTGCAACTCCCTTGGCTAGTGAATTTTTTGCCCTGACATGCGTCATCCACACCATCTAGATGTAGCTTAACTGATCTTGGACTGTTGAGCTCTCGCCACCACATTCCGGAGAGCCCCATGTCACTACGGTTCCATCTGCCAAGATTGCAGCAAAACCAGACTCTGTGGCATAAACCTTCTGAACATTCCTGAGGCAATCTTGGACTCTGGAGCTGTCTCCGCCACAATTTGGATCACCCTGTGTCACAACGTTTCCATCTTCCAAAATCACAGCAACAGCATGGTATGTGGCACAAATCTGCTTACCATTCAGGAGGTTTTGGAGCTGATGCGCGTCACCACCACGGTTTGGACCGCCCCACGTCGCAAATGCCAAACAAGCAGCAGCAGCAAAGCCCTTGTCAGAAATCTTCATTGCTCGACGGCCCCATGTCACCACGGTTCCATCTGCCAAAATGGCAAGAAAACCAACCCCGGCGCCACAAATCTGCTGAGCATTTGTGAGCTGATCTTGGACTGTGGAGCTGTCACCGCCGTAGTCTGCATGGCCCCAAGTCACTACGGTTCCATCTTCCAAAACTGCAGAACAAGCATGGTATGTCTTGTATGTGGCACAAATCTGCTTAACATTTCTCAGATGATCTTGGACTCTGGAGCTGTCACCACCATCCCATGGATGGCCCCATGTCACCACGGTTCCATCTGCCAAAATTGCAGCGAAAGCAGAGCCGGTGCCACAAACCTGCTGAACACTCCTGAGCTTATGTTGCCACCACAATCAGGATGGCCCCATGTGACAATCTTATCACCTCCAGCAATCCACAAAACAAACGCACGACCTGTTGCAGCTATCTTTGGCTGCAGTGCAACAGCAGAAAGGGTGTCTCCATTTTGAAAGCCAGAAAGTCGAATAGAGTCTGCTGGATCTAAAAGATGTCCATCAGGTGCAGCAAGCCTGAGGAAGCGTTGCCCCAAAGACTGCTGTGCAGCCATTTTCAGCTCAATGACCGTGCCACACCGCAGGACAGTGACGGTTTCACCACCTCCACTGGGCAAATACACATGAATTTTGAGGGGGCGCCGCCAACGATTTGGAACTTGCCTCGACTTCTCCGCCGGTGACGGATTCCTCGCCATTGCTGGAAAATCCGCCGGCCAGCTCAACTTGTCAACACCACTTCTTATTGAGCCGATAAAATGGACATCGCAATTAAGCCACAGAACTATCTGCCAGAAATCCTCGATGTTGGTGCCATCAGCTTGACATCAGGCCTGCATAACTCTTCAAAGGATGGTGAATCTATTCGTGAGTGCAATGGAACATTGAAACATTCCAATATCTGGCAAAGCCTTTAAACATCAAAATGCTCAACAAAATAGGCAGTACAGGTAGTACAGCACCCTTCAAAACCTAATCAACAATGGTATTCTTTATTGCTCGATGTTCCATCAAAACTCTCCATGTGGCAATGTGGAAACCGACCCTTTCTGTATCCGAGAGGGTGGAGGTGGATCATTCTACCCGAACCGGTGATCTTTCTGGACGATTTTCCGCAAGACAAAACGTGATCCCTTGACCCAAAAAATAACCTAAGGACCCATGAATCAAACCATGGACAACTCCTAAAACACCCGGGGGACCCATGAGTTACATGATGGGAAATATCCATAACTTCATATGAACCCCCCTTGGCACCCTGAGTTGTTTATCCATCGGAAATCCGAAAAAAAAAAACGCACCTGTCGGCATGAGCGCTTGAAGCGCCGGCTCACACGATTTCCGCATGATGTCGTTGAACCATTCAGAGATGTAGGGCCATTGGGCCTCGAAACAACTCAAAATGCGTGGGAAACTGTCAGAAACTATCTACGATGCTGATCCTGGAGCCCGGCGGAACACGTTTTTAATATAGACTCGACATGTTTTTGTTGGTTGAATACTGTTTGTTATTGGTTGAATTTCACATTTTTGTTGGTAAATCACTTCCCAGAAAGAAAGGGAAAGGGAAAGGGTCTACCCATGTCCAAGCCTCCAGCAAGTCATTGATGAATTCATGCCTCAGATGTAACAAGTTCAGGAGTTAGGCTAATTTGACGGGGTTGAAGCAAGCAAAATGATAGTTTTATGCTGGATGCTCCAAGACTGAATGATCCTTGGAAAAACACTAGCATCTTGGAAGAAACGAGGTTCACTGACTGAAAAATATGAAAGTCGGGGAGAAAACATGTCAGTTAGAGATGGAAATGGTACATCGTGTCAATGATCTCCCAAACTCAGACCAGGTGCAAACAACGTCGTAAATACCAAGGTTTTTTGGGGTTTTGTTGGCTTCTGAAACGCCCAAAACATCGGTATTTACGGTGTTTTTGCTGCGAACATCTCGACAAAACGTGAGAACACAACCTATTTGACGATTTGTGGTTCCTAAACGAATGAAAAATACTGTGTAATTAGATGGTTGCAAGATGCACAGAAGCAACACCACCAATCACACCACCAATCACACTACCATCATAAGAACAACAATAACAATAACAATAACAATAACAACAACAACAACAACAACAACCACAACCACAACCACAACCAACAACCAACAACCAACAACCAGCAACCAACAACCAACAACCAACAACCAACAAACAAAAAACAAGAAACAACAAACAACAAACAACCACCACCAACAACAACAACAACCACAACAACAACAACAACCAACAACAACAACAACCACAACAACAACAACAGCAACAACAACAACAATAACCACCAACAACAATAACAACAACAACAACAACCACAACCACAACCACAACCACAACCAACAACCAACAACCAACAACCAACAACCAACAAACAAAAAACAAGAAACAACAAACAACCACCAACAACAACAACAACAACAACCAACAACCAACAACCAACAACCAACAACCAACAAACAAAAAACAGCAAACAACAAACAACAAAGAACAAAGAACAAACACCAAACACCAAACACCAAACATCAAGCAACAAGCAACAAGCAACAAGCAACAAGCAACAAGCGACAACAACAACGGCAACAACAACAATAATAACAACAACAACAACCACAACCACAACCACAACCACAACCGAGCGAGCGGGCGACATTCTGGGCAAGAACAGCAACCCTTGGGGCATCGCCGGCGTGCGAAGCCCTAGAATTATAATGCCACACCAGTAATACCCGGCTTCTATCCCCGTTCTTTCCCCAGATTTTCATGGGAACACTGGTCATTCCGAGCTGCTTTGCCCCCAACCAGGAGGGAAGGCCATAGCCCGAGGCTTTTTTCGCCTCCGAACCGTCCTGGAAGGTCCGGAAGCTCCAGCATTTGCTGGGAAATTCACGGGCCAAATATATGGGTAAATAAGGAGGATGCAGTTTAGAATTTCACCATCAACAGTCGTTTCAATAGATAAAAACAGGGATGTACAGGGATTTAACCCTGGAAGAACCAGATGTGACAATGGATTTTTATGCATCCACAAACATGTGGTTTAATCGTAGCAGACTTGGTATTGGTATTGGTTCTTGTTAGCTATACTGAAATTTGAGCACCCCACGGTGGAATCATAATGGGAACGACCATCACCAAAGGGAAGGTTTCCCAATCACATTTGGTATGCCAAAGCACTAATGATTAAGCATGCTATAAGCTGGTTTAGAGGGGATGTTTACCAACCATCATTGGGAGATGATGTGGAAAAGATTCCAGAAAATGTCAGGTTGTTTGCCATGAAAATGAACGCCCCCAGCTCCGGGAAATACACCTAACACTTGTTGGAAGAGGATCCCAAGCAGGTTGAAACCCCAAAGAATGGCTTGGATTTTGCAGAGCTATGTCATAGTTAGCGAAAATTTAGGTGTATTTTGGGACTGCAACTGGCCATAGTGGAGATATCATGGAGATTATATGGGGATATCAAGTGATGGGGTGGGGTATGTAACCAACAGAATAATATGGGCATGGGTGTGTCTCAAAATTCTGGTTTACCCAAATCCAATGACTTGCACCATGTATCGATTGCAGAAAACTCCCAGGAAGGTTTAGGTATCAAAAGTGGAGGTATCTAATGTATGTAATGACATGTAAGGTCTTTTCTTTGAGCCTATGTACGGCACGATCAACTTCAAAATGCACTTACATGGCTCATGACCTGCATTCTACTCCCCGAAAATTTTGCGTGTTGCCGGGTCTGTGATTGACAAAAAAAGTGCAATCCCCAATCTGGGTCCCCTGATCAGTTTGCATTGCCATGGTGCCAGTAGTGTCAACCCTGGAGAGATGAGTGATGAACCATGTCTTTTTAATAAAAACATATATATCAAATATTGGAATCGTACACCCGCCGGTAAAGCGGCAAGGCTTCACCCTGGGGTACCCTGGGCTGCAACCGTCCACCCATGTCCTCATTGTGGGCCTGGTTCAGCAAATATTCCTGAGGACGACGCGTGGGAAGTGATCTTCGTCCGTGCCTCTTGATAGGAATTGTCCATCAAACCGGTATCATTAAGATTATGTGGGGTTCCTAGCTTGGGTGGGTGAAAGCAGGTAAAAACCCAGGAAAACCCCATATTGTTTTGTGCAAAACCAACATGTTTGTTGATGAAATGTCGGTTCAAATTCCCTTACATCCGGGCTATACGCACATAGAATTTTAACTATGTCGCAGAATTTGGGTAATCATAGTAATCATAAATATCATAACTTCATAACTACCATAACTTATATAGAGAGAGAGAGGGAGCCTGTTTTTACAAAGGTTCAACACCCATTTCGTTATGGAAAATTACACCCCAAACAGTGCCAAACAGTGTCGGGGGTAGGAAGTCAATGTACCAGATACTTGCGACAGTAGCTATGGAACAGTAACAGATCAGGTTAGACATTCTCGTAGCTGCAGCAGCATGAACTTGTTGTGGCACAAGAAGCATCTCTATGTCTACGCAGCAGGACCTCCTACCAGAACCTCATACCAGGACATCAAATAGAATTTCACTAGATCGTCCAAAAAAGGACGTACAGAGGATGTCAGAAGATCTTCATACAAGAACTTCGTTTGAGCATGCCAGAAGAACAACTCTCCTACAAGCACCAATGAAGAGCATCAAGATCTTAATGCAAGGACCTCTTGACATGAGAAGGATTTCAACAGGATCTCCATACGATCTTCTCACAAGGACCTGTGCGAGATCATGCAAGGACACCTAGAGAATTTCATCAGACCTCTTCAAGATCTTCTCACAAGGAACTGTAAGAGGCCTGGACCAAGGTCTTCATGCCAGGATCCCGAGGAGAATCCCACAAGATCGTCATCAAAGGACCTGCTGCTGCTGGAGAGGGTCTTGCAAGATCTTGAGACAAGAACCTCCCAAGAGCATCCGAGAAGAGCTTCCATACAAGCACCTCTAAGATATGGCATCTGCAAGATCTTATTTCAAGGACCTCTTGGAAAGGATCTTACCATCTCCACAAGACCTTCTGACAAGGGCCTGTGCAAGATCATGCTAGGACCTCTTATGGGGACTTCACCAGGATCTCAACAAGATCTTCTCATAAGGACCTGTGCAAGACCACGCAAGGACTCTTCAAGGCTGTCAGCAGGATCTTCACAAGATCTCCTCATAAGGACATGGTCAAGTTGATGCAAGCACCTCTGACAAAACTTCATCAGGATCTTCACAACATCTTCTCACAAGAACCTCTGCAAGACCTTGGTCAACAGCTTCATATATTACGGACCTCTGAGACTGCACCATGAAACTCTTGCAAGATCGTCTAAGAAGGACCTTCCACAGAGCTTATAAGATCACTTTGCCAGGGTCTAAGAGAAGCAGATAAGATCAGCACCAAGCCACAACCAGAGCGATCCTGGACGGCGCGAGCCATGGCAAAATTCGCACCGCGCCGCAATGAGAGCGATCTGACACGCAGAAAGTGCCGAGAAGGTGGCACGACGAGCACATGTTTCACTTTTCACAAAAAATTGAGCGCACCACGAAAAATGAACATGGAAAATAATAGAAACATTTAAAAACGATCTTTGACCCAGGTCTCAGCTACTTTTTCGTTGAGGTCTACAAAGCACTGCACCTGCCACGAAAAATGAGCCGGAGGCATCCGAAGTGCTGTGCCTGCCGCAAAAACGACAGTTTCACAAAACGAGAATTTCGACCCTTTCAGAATGCCGTCAAAGTTCACCAAATACTGCGGCCTGCCCCGAAAAATGACCTCCAAAACCACCTCTCATTTTGCCCACGCCTGCCAACGTTTTACGCCCGTGCAGAAGTGCCACACCCGCAACGCGGATGAAAAAGTGTCCGATGCCCTGCACACGTCACGCAAAATGACGTTTAGACTTTTAGACTTCAAAGTGCCCCGGATGCCCCACGCCTGCCACACAAAATAGCTCAAAAAACGAGCACGGCACGCTATAGTAAAACGACACCTTCGAAAAGGAGCAAAACGGGGCAACCCTACCGTTTTGTGCGAGCCTGCGCAGTCGAAATGCATATGGACATCTCACAAGGGAACCTTTATCCGAGAATTCACAGCAAAAAAGCCGGCCAGATGGAGCACCCTGATCTAACCCTGGCCTTTAACACCCCTAAGAACCCCTCAGTGTGGACTGTTTGGGGAAGATCTCCCCAAAATCCCACGAAATCTCCACGTGGCGGTCGCTTGATGCCAGCGCCGCGCCGGCGAGAGATTTCCGAAGCGCAGGAGGCCCGAGCCGCAGCAGGAGATGCAACCTGGATGGACCCCGCCACAATTCGTCATCAAAAATCATGAAAATCTCGATACAAGTCCAGTAACTTCCCAAAAGGTCCCTTATGGGTAGGTTTATCAACCATTAACTCATCTTGATGTTTGATTATGTTTGGTCACTTTTTGATGGGCTTATCACACCGCCGGGACTTGTTTCCATCTCCAAAACCGCACCTGAAATGTACTTCTGCTTCAGACCCTGCAGCCATTGAGTCCAAGTCAACTCCTGGCGCGATCTACCGGTGCTGGGGACAACATTTCACCAGAAACATGGGCAAATGTTGGAAGCCATCAGTTTATAGCTGTATAAATGATGATGAAGATATTCCCAAATGTCCATTTCACCATCATAAAACACCATCATTTCACCATTTCACCATCATAAAACACCATATTCCGAAATGGTATAAATGATGAACATTTCACCATCATCATTTCACCATCATTTCGCTTGTGAGGATGCCGCGCGATCCATAAAAAAAATGCAGCGGCGATGGCGATGCCCTGCCTCCTCTTCCAAGATGGTACTGCAGCTGTGTGGAAACATCACAACTTTCCATGGCTCAGGTCATGGTGGTCGTGACGGTCGTGAATTCATGGGGAGGCTCCAAAATATAGGCGTCCCAAAATAGCAGCAATTAGATATAGTTGTTGTATGTGTGTTGTCCATATATATATATATGTATAATAATATATGAATATGTATACATATTATGCTACTTGGATTAGAAAACTGACTATCTTTACTGTTTTAGAATTTTAGGCCAAACCAGAGTGTTTTCTTCAACTGCTTTTTGAGCCACACTTTCCAAATCCCCTGGGTCTGCATCGACTCGATTGCAGTGAGCCAAAGAACTATCGTCCCAGGAAGGGCCCCAAGTTCTGGCGGAAACCGAATTGAAAACCAACAAGACACATCTGGTGGATAAAAAAAAGCGGAGCTTTGAACGCATTCTGTTCAAGACTTTGGAGTTCTGCACACCAGTTGGTATGATTTAATCAGATCCACATCCATGAAGCTGATTTTCTCCTCCAACATCTTGAAGTCAAGGCCGAGCAACAAATTGCCACTGGGCGTTTTTTGTTTGTGGCGCACCAAATCACTTCAATCACCATCTTCCCATCCTCCTTTCCCTTGTGGTGTTCCCAGTGAATTGAGATAAAACCTTATCTTGGCTGTCAAACACCAGCTTTTGAGGGAGAAACCACCATTTCTTGTTTACATCTCTATTTCTCATCGTTGGGATGGTTTCATCACTATTTTATCCGTTGAAATAGCCATAAATGGCTCAGTTCCCTCAATGTTGTCATATGTCATGGTTTACTCCCTAACTATTGGACCTTCCCGTACCCCTTGTTTTGAGAGTTTGAACCACCTTTATACCCATCATACATCCCATCATTCCACTGATTCTCCACCACCCGTTGGTCACCGGGGTCCCTGGCCGTGTTCTGCACCGCTGCAAGTTCTTTCACCAACAGCACCACCAGCTCAAGGTGTTCCTCCACGTTGCCACGGCGGTGTCGGAGCTCGCGCGCCCGTGGGCGTACCACCTGGAAACGGCTGGTGAGGCCATCAGGATCATCCTACTGGGTTGATGTTCAAATCTTAAGATCTCTAGGTGTCTGATATTTTGAAGCAAACATCCTCAGATCTTAGGTGAAAACCTTTTTTTTTGTCCAGATTTGCCAAACATCGTCAGAAATTGTGGACAACTGCTTGAAAATCACAGGATATTTGTTTCACCCTGACCTCAGGTGCATAACTGGGCCAAGTGCAACAGCCTTTGGTCACAAGGTCCTGGTCGAAAACCCTCTTCCGAAAGCTGAAAATGTTCAATGATGAAAACATCCCCAGATCCCAAAAGGTTGTAAGAATATGTAAGAATAGGTCTTAGCCCCATATCAGCCCAGCAAAAATGGATGAATCATGGAGATTCACCTTGCAAGAATTGCTGTGAATGAGGGATTCAACCCGCAATCGGGGTATGAAACCAAAGCATTCCATGGAGATATCATTGATGTCATGGGAGTCATGGGATATTGCTTGGAGTTCAGCATCAAATCTTGGGAACTTGAATCAACGATCAGTGGGATTTTTTTCGAAAGAGCTTCAACCAGCAAAGATGGTGATGTGTAACCATCAACGAAGGGGATGTCTGATGTCAAGCCATAAATTGTCAGCATGGTGAGTCTATATATATATACATACATACAGCAACTACATTTAATTAAATATACGGATTTTAAAATATACGAGCAGGTATTTTAGACTACCTCCGGGAAGGTTTTCCTTGGCCCGCCTAACCATTTAAACATACGGAATCCGATTCATCTAAACATATTGTAACTACATTTAAATATACGAACTGGTATTTTATACTACCGCCTGGGCCTCGCGGTCTGGCCCGCCCTCCACATATTTAAATGTCGTTACCGTATATATATATATATATCATTCTATATCTTTCATACATACATATATATATATATATGTATATATATATATATATGTATATATGTATATATATGTATATATGTGTATATATATATATATATGTATATATGTATATAATCTCATTCTATATTTCTATATCATGATATACAGGTTGTGTTTTACACTGAGCTCACAAGCCAATACGTTGGCCGCGAGGCCGCATTTCTCCTGCATCCATAGGTGAGCGCGTCGCGGCTCTCCCGCTCTGAAGAGAGCCAAGATCACCTGGCGAAGGATGGAAATATCTCTCGCTGGTTCCCCAATGGGGTTACCCTCTGGTAAACTAGCAGTTGTCTATTGAAAATCACCATCTTTGGTAAACATGACATTCCCAATATATGGAAAAATAATCCAAATGTTCCAAACCACCAATCAGAAATTCTGGTAATTCAACATAGCTATTGAAAATCAACATCTTTAATAGGTAAATCAACGAACTAAATGGGCCATGTTCCAGTTCGCAAACTATAACAAATTCCCAGAGGGTATCGGGTTCAGCTCCAACATGGTGTTGCTGGGTGTCACATTCATGAATGGATGGTTAAAAATCCGAATCAAAAGATCAGGTTTAAATAATGAAGATTTAATTGACTTATGTAAAATGGGGATTGAGATGGAGAATGGGAACTGAAGAGTAACAAAAATGTGGATTTGACATTCAAAACGTGGGGTATCAGCTGTATCATCAGGAGATGTCACTCTCAAAGATGGGGCTTCCTCCAAGAAAAGGATCACAATATGCCTAGATTTTGACCCAGGCCCATTTGTACCGTCTTGAGATCCATATTTATGATTTTAAATGTGTTTTTTTGATTTTCGGATCATCCAAAGCATGTTGTAACTAACCTATTGCAACCTGCACCACCACTTAGTCTGATACCTCTATGGAGTCATTGGCAACGACTAAGGCAGCATCCCAGCATTACCAAAGGGCAGGTCCCAGGCTTCCGGGCGTCTCTGAAGGATTGACCTTGCACGGTGCCAGGAAACAACGGTCCCGGCAGGGTGAAAATCAGAAAATCCACCATGTGATAGAGGATTTATCCTCTGGTTATTTAACATAGCCATGGAAAATGGCCGATAGAAATAGATGGTTTACCTATTAAAAATGGTGATTTTCCATGGCTATGTTAAATAACCAGATGGTACATGGATTTACCAAGGAAAAATGGTGATGTTATGGTGTTCCATAGTTTTGTGCTAGTTTACCAGAGGGTAATGACAACTAAGTTTGGAGATGTTTGGAGGCATCCACAGCTGACCGTGAAAAAAATCCGCATATCTACCATCCAACTCATCACTGTCTTCAACCTTGTTTCTTGTGGGATGGTAAATGATTTCTTCAGATTTGGCTAGCATTTTTGCTTATATCCCCATTCTCTCCCCATTTTCTTGTGCTTAAGTCAAGTTAAGTCTCCATTTTTCTTGGAAAAAAATCATGTATAATAATGTTAAATCATGTTAAGTCTCCATTTTTTGTTGGTCAAATCTCCATTCTGCTCTACATCCGATAAGTCTCCGGGCTGTGGGGCCGTTCCCCTCGCTCTTCGAGGTCCATCAGGTAGCGCTCAGCACGTGGCAGGGCGTTGGCCTTGGGAAGTCCGTTGCTACCAACGTTACCAAAACATGAAACGTTAGTACCAATGGATTAGTGACATTATGAGTATTAATTATCCATTGGTTAACCATCTTGGTAACATATATATATATACATATGTGTGTGTGTTGCCAACCCAACTAACCCAACATTAGCTAATATAAAATACATATATATATATCATTATATATCATATTGTTAATATGAACTCAACATTAGAAACATAAACATATTTATCTATAGCAACACCAATGTGGTGGTTTCACCAAAATATGGTTGATACCCAGAAATTGGTGTTATCAACATTGGTAAATGGGGGTAAACTATGTTGATATGTTGGTACATCATGGAAAATCAAAATCTGCTACTTCTTAACCTACGTATGTTAAACTCATGCATATATCTGGGTAAATTATAATATTTCACTAACCTGAATAGTTCGGCCATTTGGGGATGATTCCCCTTACTAACCATGATTTCCAGGGCTCGGTCGCAGTGAGGTTGTTATAATTTACCCAGATTAATTGATGATACAACTCAAGATTTCGGTATCCTTGGAATCTGGGAGAGTATCGTTGTGTCGATAGCTGTGAGTACTAAATGTGACACCTCAATTTCCAATGGATATTGACCCAACATGGCCAAAATACTAAGAAATGATACAGTACAAGTAGCTGGGATCTTGAATCTGGTTTTTCGATAGGTTCAAAACTCGGGACGTCAAATCAATCATTGGTGGATTTCTCTTTTTGAAGAGAATGGTTTTTCCATCCCTGGAGGATTCTCGTTTCGCCGGCTTGTCTTGTAGACGTGTTTGAAACTACTGCTTGTAGTATCTATGCTTGAACTTTAGATTTCCTGCGCTCATGCAGACCCTCTGCAACGCCTGGAGCCACCACATCTGCAAAAACATAATGATCCGATGTGATTCGTGCACTTCGATTGTTTCATCCACAGATTCACACGATCCCGCACTGTTACTGTACTCAACTGTTTCCACCTGCCAACTCTTGTTGCTACCTCTGCGGTCCACATGATTACCAAGACGATATCTGATGATGGACACTCGTCTGTAACTCAGAAGTTTGCGAAGTAAACTTCCTTTGATGATGTGTAATTACCCAATATGATTCAAACATCTGGGTAAATTATAAAGACGACACTGCGACCTCACTGGAAATCATAGTTAGTAAGGGGAATCATCCCCAAATGGCCTTAATTCAGGTTAGTGAAATATTATAATTTACCCAGAAACATGTTGTACAAGGCCAGCACACGCTTCACCATAAAGGTTCGCTGAGCTGAGCTTCCCGGCATTCGCCATGCCCTGAATCATCACGTCATAGGTCGATCTCTGGGGCCTTCCCCGACATGGAGAGATTTTTATATCGGAGATCTTCGGAGATTCCTGGTATTTAACCAAGATAACCTTCAAAATCTTGGAATCAACATAAAATATCATATAATATCATATAATATCATATAATATCATATAATATCATATAATATCATATAATATCATATATTATCATATAATATCATATAATATCATATAATATCATATAATATCATATAATATCATATAATATCATATAATATCATATAATGTCATATAATATCATATAATATCATATAATCCTCTACAATCCTCTTGTTGTTCAAGGTAAAAAAAAAAACAGTAGCCATCACAAATCGACAAATCATGCTTCTGTCGAGGTCAAACACAGCAAAACGCTGAGCAGGATTGAGCAGAAAAATTCTATAACTGTTGTACCTATAACCATTGCAGTGCATCTTGGATTTCGGATAAAAGATGCTAGTTACAATGCTAAACTATTCCAAATCTCAACGTTTTCATGAACCAAGAGTTTGGGATGGTCCCACGCATCACGGATGGTCGGCAGCACTAAACATGGCTCAGTAGCCTGGGCCATACTCAGCTAGATCCTGCTTTACGAACAAACAACCCACCTTTTCTATGGACTATATACTCCTAGTTCAACCCCCATATTTTGATGTTCAAGTCCCAACAAAAAACACATTGCTTTCCACCGGTTAAATACTTAAATCATGTTAAATCTCCCCATTTTGGTGAAGCCCCATCCAATCGTGGCTTCAGTGGCTTCGTTCCCTGTGATGCCTGAGGGATGACAACTCAGGATGCAGCGCCGCGTGTTGGACGCGTTGAAACCATTCGTCCGCCTGGTGTTGGAGATGGAATGCTGAGGGAAACCTTGTTAACTATAGTGATACAAGGACGGAGTGGTAAATGTCATTCTCAAGGATCTAAATATATATATGTGTCCTGTTTGGGGTGGATTTTAAAGACTTGAAGTACTGTATCTGTTGGAGACCTGTTACATATATATTATATTATATATACACTCTATAAACCCTTTTTAACCAGGTTATGTTCACCAACTTAGCCATGGTAAACGGGGGCCCACCTTTAATAAGTATGAATAAACATGGGAATTTAACTGTGTTGAAATGTAGACTGCTTGTAAAGAACAAAGATGGGATTGTAAATACCGAACAATGGGGATATGGTAAAGCCGTTATCCCAGATATGTGAGCCATGAAAAATCATTGTGGTAAACCCACCCATTTCAAACCAGGAAATTTGGGGATGATTCAATCCCATCCCAAACAATTACTGGACTGGCTGGGTTGGGGGATAGTCCTATTGTCAGTTCCAACCAACTGTTTGGGGCCTTTTTCAGGGACCCTACTGGTTCGTTTTTCAGGTTATAAACAAAAACCAATAGACCCTAACTACAGTATCCCTAACCATTGGTAGTTTTATAACTAAAATTGATTTGGTAGTTATATCCCTAGCTGACCATCTGTAGGCGTTTTGAAGCTGAAAGGAAATGGCTTTGCTGTTAGGTTTGTGGCGTGAGGCCATGGCCGTATCCTGTCGGCAAATCGCGCAAGTCCCGGACTTTTCTGGTTGGATCTGTCAGGTATATCGGAGTATTCTCTGGTGAAATGGCCCCAAACATCATGAAACAGATCATGAAACATATCATCAAATATATCATCAAACATATCATGATCACATATATGGGGATGGGTCAAAACCCTGGTACCGTGCCGTGAACCCCAAGTCATAGCTGGGATTTATGGATGTGAATAACCCACTAAAAATGCTATGAAAATAGGTATTGACCCATAGCCATATCATGAAATATCAAGGATAGCTCTGTGCCCAACGGCTGGTGAATCCCTTGGACTTTTTTCTTTGAGTCCCAGCTACGGACACACAGTATGGATGTAATTCGCTTATATGTTGTGTATATATGTGCATGTGTATATATACTATATATATGTGTATATATACTATATATATAGAAAAATTATCACTTTAGAAGACTACACGATATATCAACTGTATTCAATTGTCACTTCCTGCGCTTTTTTGCATATGTATATATATATATTATATATTATATATCCTGTGAAAGTCACCAAGGTTAAAGCAGCTTTTGGGGGCTGCGAAACTGACCCGTGAGCTTACTGTTCCACATGATCGAATCTGGACTAAAGAAAGAAGCTGTGGAGCCTCTTACTGGGATATTCCATAAAAATATGGTGAACACTGCTCAGTATATCTCAGTATCTTTCCACTTAACCACCAGAAATTCTCCAAATGTTCGCTTTTACCAGGTTTCACCAAGGTTTCAGCTATCGGAACTTTCACCAGACTCGGGATTGGACCTGATCGGATCCGCCCGACCTGACTGCTGTCGGTCTAAGATCAGGCCGAGAGATTTCTCTTTGCGCGCAGGGCTGATGCTCCATCCGGGTGTGAAACGCTCGGATTCTGGTCATTTATGGTAATTTTTGCCATAGTTATCATGATAGTTGTGGAAAATACCCTACAATAAATAGGGGGGTTAATGGGAAAATCAGCTATAAATGGGCTATGTGTCATAACTATGTTAGTCTACTGAAGGGTAAGCCTGTTTTGTTGGCAATTAGCCGTATCTTCTCCCTAATATGAAAATATAGCCCCCAATCGAAACCTTGTTTTGGTACCATCTAGGGGGTTTAGTACTATAGGAAACAATAGTCAGTACATATCTGGTTCCCATCTGCAATCTGGTTCCCCATCAATCAGAAAGCAACACAATTCAAGCCCAGTTATATCAATTTATGTCTGACTTCTTTGCCCCATGTGTATATTGTGTTTGGCTACTTGTTTTTTGGTCAGTGGTGGGGTAAATCGTCAGAAAGTATACAAACACCATTAATACCATAAAATATGAAATATTATATAATTAATTATATTCAATTCATATGTGTATGGGGGTGTTGGGAAAACCTGTCAACGGAATGACGTTTCTTTTTGTAAATCTGGAAAGCTTACTTCATTAGTATGTGCCAAGGACGGCACAGACCGGAGGGCACTGTTCAGGTGAAGCTTTTCCCATTCACAATCCCCTGAAATTGCTCCAAAGGTTGATCCGGTGTCATCAAACATGGCTGGGAAATCCGCTGCAAATGGATGGGAGATTTTCCAGCAAACCATGTTCGATTGATGTTCGATTGGAGGGTAAAACGAACAAGTGGGTATGGATGGGGATCCTTTCCTTCCATCGGCAGTTGTCATTACATTCACCCGGCATGGAGCACAGTGGAACCGTCATCGCGCTGGTAGCGAATTCGCAGCACTCTCAATCGGAGACGACAAAAGGGCGCAGGTTAGCTTGCAGCCGATCGCTGCTCAAATGGCCGTCCGCACGAGTGGTATCCCATTTCTTGAAGATAAAGAAAGATCCAACCCCGCAAAAGACCAATGAGTGTGTAATGAAAGATTGTCCAGCCATTTCTTGAAATCAAATGTTCTCGGTTTCCCTAATTTGGGAAAATGGAAGTTCACCAAATGAACACTGCATGTTTGTCCAATCGAACCACAAAACAAATACGAGTACTCAACTACCCATCGGGGCAAACAACCTTTATCATCATCGCCAATGGCATGTCTTGCCTTTTGTGGCCCGTGCTTAAGCGGCATAGAAAACATAGGGCCACCAAGGGCCACCAAGGGCCACCAAGGGCCACCAAGGTCCAGGAATGGGCTGCTCGGGACGGCTCTCCTTTCTTCGCTTTTCTGTGCGAAGCTAACGCCATGGGATTCATCGAGTACGATCCATGGGAATCCTTGGAAGATGGATGGACTATGGCTGTTAATTGATGGTAAGCTATGAGTATATTATAGTATATTTCATGGCTATATTCAATGCTATTCATATATGAAATCATGATGAAATTGGATATTAGTCAACAAAAAAATGGATTGAATGGCACATTTAACATATCATTTAACAAAGGTATAGAGAAAACCACCGTTGGGAAGTCCGCCCATTGGCATCTTCTGTGATTTTTTTCTCCGCAGTGCGTTGATCTCTCAGCAAAACTTCTTTGAAAATAGGTCCTCCTTTTGGGAGATAAAAAACAATGGAGAAAACAGCGAGAAAAACATATATAGGGTACCTGAGATGGTGTTTTTCTGGGTTAGTTTCTGATTTATCTGATTTCATCATATCACACCACTATGGCAACCATGTGCAATTGCTGGGACGATCATCTGATTTCAACCCATGGTTGGCAACACACGGGGCAACGAATATTCAGAAGCGACGGCTACGGAAACGCATGGAAACGCGCAACTTCTGTGCGCGAAATCGTCATGGCCCCGTGGTCATGGCGAAATCGAGTTGCGATGCGCTGATCTAACAAATTCAGCACCCATTCCAAGGGCCCCACTTGCGACATCCGAGTTTGCCGCAAGTAATTTAGGCTTCAGCTCACTGTGGGAGTCCCTGGCAAGTTTCAGTGCAACTTTGCAGCTACCACCGACCAGTTGGCGCGATTCACGTCAAGAAAAAGGTCCAACAACAGTGATGATGAGACAACCCGCGCAGCATGATGAGTGTTATTTGGGGTGCGGTTTCCCTGGTTCACCTCTATATTCACTCTATTCTTTCCTAGATGTAGCGTCGGGCAATGTGGATTTGCCTCCCAACCATATTCTATATGATGATGTTCCAGGATGAGCCCGAACAACAAGTTTACACATGGGCTATCAGGATGCTGTCAAGGTATGTCGAGGTATGTTTCATCTGATGAATGAATTGGAGATGGGAGAAAAGAAAACAAAATGCAATCCTTCAATATCCTTCAAGCACATCTGTGAGCAAATCATAAAGATTTCCTCAGAAAAAGTCATTGATTTTAGGGCTGATTCTCCGCAGGCTTGGGCCATCTCATATGGATCGATGGATCGCCAAGCCAATGTGGTCATAACTAACAGTTCGCCATGCTATAGATGGCCCATTTATAGATCCATGTACCATCTGGTTATAACTAACAGTGCGCCATGGAAAGATCCACCCATTTTTAAGTTCGGTAAACCATCTATTTCTATAAATGGGCCATCTATACCATGGCGAACTGTTAGTCATAACCAGAGGGTATATGACATTATATTAGAACTTCCTGGGCCAAAAAAGGTCACATCTTTCGCATTGGGCTGATCGCTGTGGTCGCTGTCGCTGATCTAATTGGAGAGATCAAAAACCTCGTGGCCGCCTGGGGACATCGTTGCGGGCTTGGCAGGATGTCTGGACAGGATTTATCCAAAGTATTCCAAAGTCACGGCAATTTCGATGATTTCTTTTTGATACATAGGGATTTTTGGCTTTTAGATTCTGAGATGCCAAAGATGTCAGATGGGAAGCTCCAAATCCCACCGGGTCATTCGGTCATTCCATGAAATCCTGGTTAAGAACGGGATTCCCCATTGGATTATTGTAATCCCCAACCCATATGCTCCATGTATGGAATATTTACCAACATTTACCCCATAAATGACCCAAATGTAGGTAAATATACCATACATGGAGCATCTGGGCAATTGTTGTTGGGTACCCGGCCTGGTAAACGTTTACAAAAAACTGATGGGAAAGATCCACCATGCTATGAAAATGGGTAAATCAACTATTTCTATGGCAATGTTCAATAGCTATGTAACAAATTACCAGAGGGTAGTATAATCCCCTAGAATCATCAACCAACAGGGGTTTAGCAGCCACTGCTCAAGTGGTGTTCATCAGTGTTCATAGCCTCATGAACCAATGCGCCAGAATGGTGCAGTATGGTACAGACTCGTTCGCCAAATTCTGCGACCGCATCCCCATTCATCCTCATTTTGAGGGAAAAAAACAATGTTGGAAACCCTGATTGACCTTGGCTCCACATGTTCAAAAAACGAAATATATGACAGTATACAAATATATATATACACAGTACGAGTATATATAATTATGTATATATATACATTATACGAATCAATATTGTCCTTTTCCGAAAAATCGAGGGGCCGGTTTGATGTAGGATACTTATCATATATATACTATATCTTATTATCATCTAGAATTACCTATTAGTTGGGCATTCATGGGGGCACGCCTCTATTGATCAAGCAGTGGCTCCCTCCACCGGACAAGGCGCTGGAATGCACAAAGACCACGCGCTTCAAACCTGCCAGGGAAATATTCGTCCCAAAGAATTCATGGGCAGTTCCACTACTGGAGAGAGGGGGATATGTTTTTTTCACTCGCAAGCATTCTCCAGCTGATTTGAAAGATTTTGAAAGCAAAGACTAGTTGACTGTAGTTAGTTGAAGCTGCAATATCCCTTTTCACTTGACACATGAAAAAATACCGCTATCCCATCATTAGCAGTATAAGTTATCTAAACCCCAGCAACAAGGGGTATGTTTAATAGCTGGAAGCTGTAAGCGATGTTGGATCATTCCATCAACTCATCAACTCACCATCATGTGTCAGAAAAATGGAGGATTTCTTCCAAAAAAACTAATGATGTTATTTGATGATATGAATATCATATATATATATATATGGAGAATATAAATATTATATATATATTTATATATATATAATCTTAACATATCTGAAAAAATGTTTTTTCTTAGCCACCTTAATCCCCAAAAAGAATAGCCATGGGAAAATGATACCCTCGTAACAGCTGGATTTAGAGGCACTTATCCATGATCCACTAAGATATCTATATAGTCTGTAACCATGACAATAAAACTGTACCCGTTACTTCACCATAAAAAATAAATGCTTAATATCGTTTCATACCACGTACGATATGATATGTAATGATATGTACTACTAGTTTTTTTAAAATATATCTTAATGATTACATCAAATATCACTACATTATGATTAAAAATGATATGTGATGATATCAACTCATAGCAAAAAAATATAGATCATATGAACTTGCTGAACTAGTTACAATAACGAATTGTTCATGTGGGAGTTTCCTGAAATAAGCTATCCCCAAATCATCCATTTATGAATGGATGTTCCATGATTGTCCATTCATATTTATTAAATTCCTCATTTTGGGGTATCCCCATGGCCCATGACTATGGAAACTTCCCTCAACTCTTTATAGACCATCCACCATGGAAAACATTATATATATATAACATCATATAACAATTACAGATCATCCAGCTATTGGAGTATCCCCATGACTATGGAGAAACCCCCAATATGATCAATGGATTTTCCATGATTTTCCATTCACAAAAAATGGACCCACCATATTATGTCACCTATATCCTTCAACTCATCGTTTCGAAAAACCACCTGCAGTGAGGGCATTGCAGTACGCCATGAAGGCTCGCGCTTGCGGTGCTTCGGTGCCCCACTGCTGTGGCAAGTTCCTCAACATGGGAAAATATGGGAAAACCCATAGCGACAACCACAGGAAAACCATGGGTTTTCCCTAACGAACCTGGCGATTTCATCAAGACAAATTGGGGATTGAATGTAGAGAAAATAGCTGGTTTATGATAGCTAAGTTAACGCACAGAACTTGATTAACGTTTGGATTGACTTGGGGGATATAACATGATATAACTGTGGTATTCATGGGTTTATGAAGCAACAAACATAACTGGGGCCCTGGTGAGAAGAAATCGATAAGCCAAGTCAATTGTAAACATGTTCAAGCCATAGAAGCTTAGCAGCTCTATCTACATAGCCCACATCTTCCCATTTTTATCCTAGCTCTCATTCCCCGATGACACAGGCCCAAGATATCCCCAGAATTCCGACATATTCCGACCAGGAATCAACACCACCAACTCGGCTTCACTGGACCGAGACAACACCACCTGTCAGGTTTTTGACGAAAACCGCAGAAACCTTGGACGAAAACAGAACCTGGTGTACCATTTTTCATAGCGATTCCATATATATGTTTTTGCGAGAGAAGAAGTCATCGCCATTTTAGATATTAGTATATGATAGTTAATATATCAGGTTATATATATAATATATATATTATACTATATTATGTGGGTAAATTATAAGAATTCACTAACCTGAATTAAGGCCATTTGGGGATGATTTCCCTTACTAACCATGATTCCAGGGCTCGGTCGTAGTGAGGTCGTGATGAAATTTACCCAGATATATCATATATTATCCATAGATTCACCATTATTCACCATTATTAACTATTATTAACCATTATTCACCATAGATTCACCATTTTTATATAGCATATGACAGCATTCCAAGTCCCGCTGCTTCGATGTTTTGAACAAACCGCCTGGTTCAATCGGGTGCACGACTCCAAGTTGGTGAAGTCATGGCTTGGCATCGGCAAACGTTGGCCTCGCCGGCAGCAACTGGGGCTGGGCAGGTCGGGGGGAACTCCGGGGAGGAAAGGCGGTGGTTTTGATGTCAGGTGAAGTTTATGCCATATATGGCAGATATATCAGTGATATATTTGATAGATATATCCAGTGATATATCTATCTATATATCCATAGATAATCATAGATATATCTGATATATCTATAAGTTGGCACCAGCTTGTAGTGCTTCACCCCATGGGAGGAGTGCGAAGAAGCCCACTCCTCACTGGTGTTTCTCCTAAACCAAATCCTTGTTGAAATGCCTATGTCCCATCCCAAAAATCTACCTCCCAAGTGCTTTCTTGGGTATGGATCAATACCTATTAATACCATTTTTAGTGGGATGAACATCCATTTACCAGCTATTTTCTCCAGCCCCAGGATCTCGCCTAAGGACGGCAAGGACTCGTTGGGTTTGCGCATCACGTGGCCCCGGCGGCATTCGTCGAAGGGTTCCTGCAGGAGCACCGAAAAAAAAGGACGGTGCTATCGGGGGACCGTCCTTAGGAGTTGCAGTGGCCAAACATGTGATATCAACCAATCATAACCAATAGTGGTTAATGGTGGTTAATGGTGGTTAATGGTGGTTAATGGTGGTTAATGGTGGTTAATGGATATATAATAGAAATGATAACTATCATGGGATATCACCAATTTTTATTGGTTTTAGTGATCTTGTGAAAAATCTCTTGAGACCAAAATGATATAAGAATCATCAACCAATAAATAAAAATAGCATCATTGATTGTTTATAATGGAGTATCAACAATTTGTGAGATTTAATGTGGTGTAACCATAATGTTGGTAAAGCAATGTCACAAACCATCCATACATTTTTATGATTCAAAAAAATGGCAACTTTGGAGATGGTTTACCATTGTTTTACTAACATGGATGGAAGTTTAGAACAATGAAACATGATCAAACCTTGGAAGTTCAGGAATTCTTCAGAACTTATCAACTTGGGAACACTAAACCCCGGATTTCCTTCACAAACATTTATATAACCCCCGAAAAGAAACAAGCACACATGTCACTGAAAGAAAATGACTCGTTCTACCTATGCGTGCAAGCTAGTATTGATAACCCACCGTCCAAAGACAGGATTTCGAAACAGCTAACTTCAAGCAGACTGTATTTGAGAAAGTTCAAGGATTCTTGAGCCTGATTCGGGCATATGCCGAGCTATGATCCTAGTGAGTGCTCCGCTTTACAGCCATCAAGAGATTGGATTATATGATGCATCATTAATACATATATATATATATTATATGGATATAATATATCATCAATATATCATCCAATAATATGGATATAATTGATATATAATATGAATATATATATATATACCCTCTGGATCTCTGGTAAACTGTTACATAACGAACTGGAAAATCACCATGCTATCAATGGGTAAATCCACTATTTCGACTGGGTCATTTTCCAGTTCGCATCTCAGCAGCCTTCAGCGGGCCCTCTGTTTTGATCGTCTCGCTCGAAGGTGCGGTAAAAAGTTGGACCCAAAGTGCATGATCGTTCAATTCGATGGTATGTTTCAACCCCCTGAAACATATTAGTTGGGGTCATTATCCCATTACACATTAAAACATCAACCAAATCATCATGTAGCCTCTGGTAATTTAACATAGCTATGGAAAATCACCATTTTATATGGGAAAATCCACTATGTCTATGGCCATTTTCAATAGCTATGTTAAATTACCAGAGGGTATAACATATACTAGATGGTATATAACCATCAGATACCATATTCAGATAATCTAACCATTCAGATAATATTATATTTAGTATATTAAAAAATGTTTCAATTGCATGGTTAGATTAATTTAGATCATCTGAATCAACTAGATCATGATACGAGACATTATACCCCCATATACCCGATGAGAAAAACTCGTCTGATATCCCCAATTCGTATGTGATGATAATCGATATAAATTACAGTAGATCAATGGGAATTTCAGGATCCTAAATTGGAGGTACCTACCATATATAAGGCCTATGTTGTAAGGCCTATGTATATAAGGCCTATGTTGTAAGGCCTATGTAAGGGAATATCCCCACCAAATATGGCCTTATATGGTACAGTACCTCCAATTTAGGATCCTGAAATGGCCATTGATTAGATAGGTTCCCCAGCTATAAACCATTACAAACCTCCACTTTTCGTGGGATTTCCACGGATTCTCCCCATGTTTTCTGGTGGATGTTCGTCCGTAAAAGCCGTCATTTTTTCGTGGCGTCCTCGCGGCAGTCGCTGACCAAGACTAGGCCACCAGGAGGCTCGGCTGCTGCACCTGATTGGAGATCAGTGATTTTCCATTTCCAACTTCGATCGTCAGTATATTTTGTATATTTATTGGATAATATTATATTATCTCAATAATATCCATAGATGATATAAGATAATTATTTCCATCATGATGTCGACATAGTCGACATAATCTATTAAAAATTATATCCAATCTCCAATAGAATTATACTTAATTAAGAGAATTATATGTCCATCATGATGTCGACATACCCTCCGGTAAACTAACAGTTTGCTATGGAAAATGCCCACAGAAATAGTGGATATATACCCATTGATAGCATGGTGATTTTCCAGTTCGTTATGTAACAGTTTACCAGAGATCCAGAGGGTATATATATATATATGTATATATTCATATTATATATCAATTATATCCATAGATGATATAAGATAATTGTGTCCATCATGATGTCGACATAATCCTCAAATCCAATCACTGCCTGCCGCCAAGGCGCCGGAGCCCACGCTGCAGATGCTCCTGGTGGAGTTCTGCGGGGGGCGCGCCTCGGTGGTGGCCGTCAACTCGTCGACCACGAAGAGGTCGTCGATCTCCCAGGGGATCGCCTCAGCCTCGGTGTCGCACCATGGGGTTTTCCCGTTTTCCCATGGGAAAACCATGGGAAAACCTGGGAAAACATGGTGAAAACCGGGGTTTTCAAAGCTATGGACTTGGGAAATCATGGGAGATTAAGATCAGATCTACATTGATTTACATATCATCCAACAGTGGGAATATAGGTCTTGAGATATGGGAGATGGAAAAAGATGTGAAGGTGTGGGGAAAAATTGTAAGTTGAGGAGGTAATGCTAAGATCCATTGGGTCAGGAATGGTGATATGATATGAGATATCATGGGGTAAATATATATATATACACATACAATTTTATGGTAAATTCACATGGCTATCGAAATCACATGAAATCACAATGTTAATAGGTAACTCATCGAAGATTAAATGGTCCATTTTTTCCATAGCTGTCTCTGTTTCCTGGTTTGGTTATGTATGGTTACCCAAATTCTAGGGGATAACAGCACAAAAAACAAACAAGTTGCCAGTTGCCAGAATGACCCTCCTGTAAATCAACATAGACGTGGAAAATCCACTATTTTGCGAAGAAGCATGGGTTGTCCATTTCGTTCCGTATGTTTGCCCCAGGGTATATCGGAGTATATGGAGGTTTCCTTAAATAGGGGTACCCCCAAATCATCCATTTTAGTAGGATTTTCCACTATAAATCATCCATTTGGGGTACCCCTAATTTCGGAAACCTCCATATCCGAATATATCCCAGTATTTCTCCAGAACATCCCAATAAAATACGTGGTGTCCACAATTTTTGTATGTTCGAGGCACCGTCTTCTGCCCACGCGAGGAGAGGAAATGATGCCGGCCCTGCGAAACAGGAATTGGAACGGCTCAGAAATTCTTTGGAGAAAATAAGACAATCCCAAATGAATCCAAATGGAACACAGGAATCCAAATGTTTTGATTCGGATTCTCCATTTGATACTTCAACTTCCCAAATGGGGCCCAATCAATAGCCACAGTTTTCAAAAAAAATATATAGCTCTTCATATCAAGTCAAGGCTCTAGAATCTGTGATTTCTGCAATTTCTGCAATTCTGTTGCTGACCTGTTGCTGTAGCTAGGCTTTGTCAACCGTTTGGCATTCCAAATTTGGGAGTAGTGATGAAAAATCAACCAGCTGGTACTGACCCTCCAAGCATAGGGTGAATTTCTGCTGCTTGGTCTTACTTCCCCGGAAACACTAATATTGATAATATTGGGTGTTGAGGATCATCCCAAGCATATGAAATGATCCTGATGTCCATACTGATCATGAAATGATGATGATGATGATGATGAACATCCTTCAAAGATCTTCAAAGATGGTTCCATCCAAGAACCAGTGCCCAATGTGCCCATGGCGTTCATAGCTCCAAATGGAGCCTCCACTCTCAAGGTCCAGTCATAGGTGTAGGGCCTCGAAATTGGTGGCTACAGCTGGGTACACTGCCAATTTCGCGGCAAGACAAGTGGCAGAAAGTATCAGAAAACGGAGTACGTTGTCAGTTAAACATTGCATCTGATATATCATATATCCAAAATAAACTAGCTAGAATTATCTATGTATATAATATATGTTATAATATATATATATATTTATTATGTATATATAATAGTATATATAATTATATATAATATATAATTATATATATTATAAAATTATATATACATAATAATAACAATAATAATAACAATAATAATAACAATAATAATAATAAGCATCATAATATATATATATAATATTTTGAATATATGGGATCATCATTCCAACTAGGCCTCTATCTCGGCACATGCCAAGCTCAGCTCGGGACTCAATCATGGCATCATCTGCTAGGATCACTTCGACGTCCACGTCAAAGAGTCGTCTCTCGCGAAGGGTCCTCTGCAGAGAGGCTGAGAAAACCAGGTTCCGGGTGTGTCAAAACCTTGTACCCCTGGTGAACATCAAAATAGCTGGTAAATGGATGTTCATCCCCCTAAAAATGGTATTAATAGGTATTGATCCATACCCATATGGCAATTTTATGCAGTATATAGATATGTAGAGTATACCCCATTTGAACTATTTGAAGAATACACACCCTTTGTATCACTTTGTGAGGTGATTTCAGTTGTAAGAACACATCAAGCTTGAAAATGTGTGGGATATTTTTTTGGGTTGTACATGTTTTTACACACCCCTGTCTTGGGAAGTTTGAGATTCTGGTGGTTGAGCCCACCAGAACCCATTGGTTGAAGGAAAAATGGCGCTCTGCGGAGCTTCTGAATCTTGGTACCGCCTTTAGGCCAATTCCCAACAGGGCTTCGCAACAGGGCTTGATGCTATGCCAGATCTTGGAACTTCTATCATACCCATTTTGTTGCTGATATCCAGGTGATTCCAGGTGTTTCACCAATCATTGTTGATACTATTCCCACTACACACCCTGACGATGGTGATTTGGAGGGCCAAAGCCTTGCCCGCAAAGATGAATGTTTACTGATCAACAAAACGCAAAGGCAAAGTGGTTATGTAGGTCTGAAAGTGAGACCAACCGACACACATCATTGTTTTGATGGTGGAATCCTCATATTCTCTGAAAATTTCATGGCCAAAATATCTCAAATTCTTCTGATCCCTGTTTCGGACAGATCCGAAAGTTGATGGGTCCCACCAAAATTTATGGATGGGTCAACACCTATGATTACCATCTTGGAATAACCATTCATTCACCTGCCGGATGCCACAGGCTTTCACCAGACGATGATTTTTGACGATTCAGCTCCTGGAGAGCACTTCCCCAGCCGCCTTGGCACGGTCCTGCCGTAAGGGGCATCAAACATTGACGCTGACGTAGGGGCCCGGTAAACAATAACTATAACCAAACAACATTAGCCAACTATATTCATGATGTTATATTACTTATATTCAATCAATATTGAAATAACCCTATGAATGATCAACATTGATATACCCATAGGATCCATGGTGCTGGTATATGTGCTAACATAAAGGGGGTATATTGATGGGATCCATGTTACCATATATAGCAGCACCATGGATCCTATGGGGATGGTAAACATTTATGGTAAACATCAATGTAAACATGGGAACATGATTCATGAATTATTGATAATGATTGGGCTTTACCCAGTTTACCCATGGTTTATTCACCAAACATGTTTGAGCAATTATTGGGTCAACAAATTTTATGGATCCAACACCTCAACCAATAATTAATGGTTAACGTATAAACATATATTAAAACTGTATTTATATATATTGTTGATGGCTAAAACCAAAACCATAATATATATGGTAACTAAACCAGCCAATCATCAATGGTTAATGATGATTGGCTTGTCCTCGGACACGTTCTCCGCTAAGGTGAAGACGCGGATCTGACTCTGGCGCCAGTTGCGGTGCCTAAGGGCGTGACCTCCCAGTGGGAAACATATAGAAATCCAGCGCTTTTAAGCGGAGAAAGATGGTAGAAAAAACAGGAAATGGAAATGATGGAAATGTATAGAAATGTCATATCATAAACAGCGGTGTTCTTTTCATGAACATTTTATTTCATCAACAGTTGTGTTTTGTTCATGAACAGGTGGGAATGCCCAAACAGTGACAAATTGTTTGGTGTCTTTGGTGTAATCATTTAGATATATAAAGACACTTTCTGAAACATATGTACTGCATGTTCCATTGAAGATATACACTTTGACGGAATCTCTGAGAAAACATAGGCGATCACCCTTAAATATGCAGTACAGTCAACTGCTGCAAAAAAAACAGATCAGGTGGCTGAGTTGGGAAGGTAAATTTCTCCTATCAGACATTGCGTGATCAAAATCAGATACCCAGGGTAATGAAACACAAATATTGTCCAACGTCATAAAGATGAAGATGCTTGAAATCAATATCCTAAGGTGAACCCTGGTGATTCAAATACATCAAATATTTATCAGATTTATCATACTCCATTAATGATATTAATGGTTAAAACATATCAAAACCTGGTTAACAAATCATATCCTAAGGCTTCAAATATGTTGGTCTACACGAAAGGTTTGGTGAAACCCATGGTCTAAACAGTCTAAACATCCACAAACCAACCTCTCATACCCCCATTTCAATCCCAAAAAATATGAAAAAAACGTAGGTTGCGAATGGTTTCTTCGCCATCAAAAATGTCAATCCGCGTCAATTTTTCATCCCAAGGGTCGCGTGGATCGGATTTTGCCCGGCCGAGATGCTGCGTTAAAAGCCAGGAGAGGAGGATTAGGAAACCACCATCGTGAATCCTTGGCACTTGGGGAAAAAGCCACCAAAAAAATGGGGGGCCCCAGTGAAGTTGGTGAACATAACTGTAATAACCATAGTGTATGATACGCTTTTTTCCCATATCTGGATGGGGTCTTGAAGCAACTTACAATTGGAGGGCCCCATCCTGTGGAATAGATGGATTTCTTACAGGTAGAAGACGATCACACAGGGGTATGACCAGTAAACATAGAGATATCATAACAAAAACTAGAGATAAAATGATGAAGTCTCCATCTTCTGTACTTGATTTATGTGTTTTTTTAAACATCCAAGTGTATCCAAGTAGAATATATACATATATATATATATGGATAGTTATATTCAATGACTCGATCTTTTTGGGGGGGTTCAGGTTACCTGATCCCTGGGGATGCTGAGCAAGGCACATCCACCACACGTCAATGGTGCTCTGCTCGCCTGTGCACTGGGAACACTGGGAAATGCACACGGTCAAAGCACGAATTTAGGGGAACCCAATGCCATAAACCTACCATTTGGGAATGGTTCACCCATCCATAAAAATTTTGTGATTTTGGGGATGGCTTATTGTTGGGTTTACCACATTCTTAAAGAACCTTAGGGGAGCCATTACTAGCGGCTGGTCAAGCAGCTGCAGAAGGTAAACATGGAGGTTGAACCATAATTTAAGGGGAACATTGACGTAAGAAATTGTGCAACAAAAAATAGAAGAGTAATAAGCATTGACGATCAATGACAATTGAGTATATAGATTCCCGAAGTCTATTTCATAGAATTGGATTATGGGAAAATTTACAGGAAAGCCCTATATTTGATGGTAAAAACCATGGTTTCCTGTAGATTTTCCCTTAAACCAATCCAGTGACTATTGTTAGCTCATCATTCCCCCATTCAAACAACAGCCTTTGCCGGCCGCCGACCTTTCACATCTTCCAGCGACATATCCTTCAGGCCCTTCACGGCAAGAACTGCCTGGCTTCAAAACTCAGGGGCACCCTGACCATTCCCCTTTTTGTCGCCCCTTTTACGAACAAAGTTCGCCAGAGTCTGCCAGAGTTCTCGAAGGGTTGGTTTTATCCAATGATTGGGGAGTGGTTATAAAACTACCATCACCAACTATACAAATCCAGATCCAAAAAATATCTGGACATATGACAGGAAATCAAGAAGATCCAGCAGCACAATGAATCATCCTGGATCCATCGGAACCCGACATTTCTCCGTAGCAAAAAACAAAAAACATCAACCAAAAATCATCAAAAATCCGCCATCCTTTCCATTCAACTCGTGGGGCTAACTATTTTTTTTTCGACTCACGCGCCTTCTCAGCGGTACTGGCGAAGCCCAAAATCTTCACCTAGCTATCTACACCATATTTTTTGGGGGGGATGAGCATGGCGAATATCCAGAATCCCAAATATTTTGAGGTGAACTAAAGGCTGCGCGGGGGATTTCACCCGTAGCATCCCGTAGCCATATTATGTAATGATACATCTTGGATGTAAATCATGGATACAGTACAAAAAATATTGCTTTGAGGCAATGATTCGTCAACATATAATGTACTGGGTCAGAGTCTGTTGGTATATTGAGAAGAAAATATGGAAAACTATTCTGTTTCAGGGAACATGTACAGGAAACCTCGGAGTTGCGAGCCACAATCTAGGGACGTTCTGCTACTTTCCTGTAAAGTTTCGCAGAGTCAAACTCTGGGAAGATAATTAGCAAGCAACAAAAAAAATGGGTTTCAAGAACAATTGGACTTTAAAGAACAGGAATATCTTGAATATGATGAAGGGGTTCAACAAACAAAAACTACGGGTACTCAACCCAAAAAAAAAAGATATCTGACCAAGACATGGCGGTGAATCTACAAAGATAAGTCAGGGAGTCATGTTTGAAACCACCAGCCGTCATCAGATGTTTGGATCGAAATCTCAAGCACATCGCAAAATAGGGGCAATATCAGGCAATATCTTGACATTGACAGACGTGTTTGCTTGGGACAATCTTAAAAACACGTTCAATGAGATTCAATATACAGAAATATCCATTGATCATTTGGAAATGTTTGCTTTGGACAGGTGCATTTTATGACTAGTTCCCACAGCCAGGAAGAAACAATCCAGTCCTCAGCCTGTCAAGATGCGGGATGTGTTATGGCTTGTACTGGAAGTCCTTGAAACATGTTCTGGTTGGTGGTATACCTACCCCTTTTGAAAAATATGAGTTCTTCAGTTGGGAGTATTATTCCCCATATATGGAAACATAATCCATTCATGTTCCAGTCACCACCAACCAGTGTTGATCATGTTGAAATGAGATCAGGATATGGATTCCACCAAGATGACCATTTTGGATTTTTTCTTGGGATTCCATGGCGCATCCAACATCTCCAACGGCACAAGTTCTTCCCAGCCGAGGGACGAAATCGAGGAACATGTCATCTTCTGACTCCTGCGCGGCAGTGGTTGGTTCAATGGGACGGTCGATGGGAAGTTGCTCAGTGCCGTGCCATTCGCAAGGTTTTTTTTTCAACAACATGTCACATTTCTCTGGTTTCGTTGAAGCATGAATCAAACAATCTAATGCTTCTTGCGGGTTGAAGGAGACGACTGGTGAAAAGGATCTTGTTGGATCTTGTTGGTACTGTCTGCACCAACCTTTTGGTAATGTAAAATTCAAATGTGCCAACATATTAGCTGCAATATACAGTAATAATTATACAGTAATAATATAGTATACTAATGTATGCAACATTATACAACCATATTTTCAGATGTTCTATTGGCCACTGGGCCCCAAGAGGCCCCGTTGCGTTTCCCCAAGCGCGGCCTCTGGCCAATCCACTAGGACTGTGTTGGGAACCAAGCCGCCGATGCCAGTGAGTTGAATGATGTAGTTGGCACCTGCGGTTTGGGCCACCGGCAAGGCAGGATGATGCAGGATGGCAGCTGCGGTTTTGGGCACAATCCAAAAAGGTTGGAAAGTGGGAAGTGAAGTGCAAAAAGAGGGAGTTCTGAGAGTTCTGAGCCCTAAGTTGTGAACAAACTGAGAAATTTAGATGTCTGTAAAGTCAAATGTGCAAATCCCATACTACTTGCTGGGAGAGTTGGGAAGTGCCATACCAGAAATTGGGATTAAACCAACATGCCTTGCAAAAGTCCCTCTTGACCGCGAAGATGCCATGTCGCCAAGAGTGGCACGTGTGATAGACACTCTCCGGCAATCAAACATGGTTTGCCAGAAACGTTGTCCCATTGAAATATGCCATGTCTATTTTTTGATGGGATTTACCAGCTTGCAATTTTTGATGAAACTGAAGGGTACACCACAGATGCAGCAGTCATCAAAACAGTCCATATTTCTCCAAAAATGAAGAGAAAAACATAAAAATCAACCGTTCACCAGTGGGTTACCCTATTATTCAAAAAATGGTTAGTATCACCAGTTTGATTCAAGTCCAACTTCTTTCACTAGGTTGTATGGGTTTCTCTGGAAATACTATACCCCCAAATAGTGAATAATCATTTCCATCTTAAAACGAGAGTCCCCGATTTTCCGACACACTCAAATATCATCAAATATCATTTTGGTGGTTTTGCATATACCATCATATCATATTCCATACCCTCTGGTAAACTAACATAACTATGGAAAATCACCATTTTTAATGGGTAAATCCACTATAAATGGCCATTTTCAATAGCTATGTAACAAATTACTAGAGGGTAAATCCGAAAATGATATCCCCATGATACCCCCTACCTTCGGCCATGCTGGGCGCAATGACAACCTCTGCAAAACCTTCAATGCCCTGGGAGTCGGAGTTCCGTTGGGAGCCGTTGGGACTTTTGGGTGGGTGGAACATGGAAGCAATCCGGCAGCTGGGAACTGTTGGCAATGAAACACTGTACACTGTAAATGTCATGTTTTTCTTTTGGGGGGGTGCAGAATTTCGTCCGAAATATCCTGGGATATCATCGGGATAACATGAATAGAACCACCGGTTCTAGTCTTTGTGGTTCAGGTTCATCAGCGGCTTCATCAGTTTACCGAATGAATTGTCGGAGAAAAAAAAGGTTGGAAATCCATATTAACCAATAAGTTATGGAAACCTGGCAGATAATCGAATGATAAATGAATATGGATTATTTCCAGGTATCTAATATGGTTTATCATGTTCCTACCGTAGTTTGCTATCTCTTAAGGTGATGAATAAGGAGTTCTGCAAAATTTGACACAAGGGCTCTTGTGAATTAACAAATACAACTATATCGATATATATATATATATATTGTACATATATACATATCATAACACTGTATAAAAGCTGTGTCATATATATATATGTATATATATATGTATATATATGTATATATATAATATCACTATTGCATGACCCTTCTAGGAATGCGTTTTTTTCGTCTGCTCGCAAGCTGGCATGCACATGTCGTCAGCGCTCTTTGATCGACCATCATGGAGATAGGATTTCAGACCTATAATTTTTGAATTGATATCCTAGATGCATTCATAATTATAATATAACTAATTAATTATATATGATATTCATACAAATCAATTGTGTCCGTTTATAGATCATTTCAAGATACATTCATAGATGAGGTTCCCAAGGAAAAAATGCCGCGCCGCCTCGTTGACCATGATGTCCTCACTGCGAAAAGGGTTTATGGGGGTTAAATATGATAAAGACATGGCTGATGACCATGATAATAATGAATATCAAAAATATCAATGTAACGATAATTATCGAAATATGCTATGATGTTTATGATCATCATAATGACCATGCTATGGGGTTGATCATGATCAGGACATGGTATAGGAATGTATAGGGTTTATGATCATCCCACCATCATTGGGGATTCGCTATAGTAGGCATGTAGATCCCTATCAATATTTTGATTGATTTGTGACCATCCCTTCTATGGACAATTCACCCACGTTTTGACCATCGCAGATCCATGGATGTGTTTGATTGATTATACCATGAAAATGGAGAAATCCATAATTCC